AGTTTTAAACTGGTTAAAAACTGGCTGTCGAAAACCTGGGTGTCATGGTCATAAACTCAACAGCCATTTTGGGAGTGGGCTAGGGTAATTTTAGGGCAAAAATTGGTATTTAGGGTGGGTTAGGGTAATTTGGGTGGTCAAAATTAGAAAATTGAGTCTGAGTTTATGACAGTTTTCAGTTAAAAACAGCAGTTTATGACAGTCCGAGTTTATGACGCAGTTTATAACTCCAGCTCTGAGTTTGTCACGGGGCCCTAATGTACACACCGAAGGGAATGTGATCTGATAGTTACTGGACGGACCGACGCCTCATCTGGTCAAGCAGTCGAGAGATTACACCATAGATCTGTCGGTACGCAGGTCCGGCCAAACCCCCACATAGCCAGGACCCGAACACGGTCCGATTTTATTCACCACAGTACCACGCGCGAATCGGCTTCAACGGGTGTGTTCGCGGTTTACCAGTACGTACCCTCCAGACCAACATCATGCAGGAGGATTCGGTATTGGGAATTACGCATGGGGGTGGATATATCTGCACATCTGGGATGCCGGATATCATCTCGGTATCATCTAAGATTCTTAAACCGTATCTGCCTGGCCTTCTGGTTAACATCAATTAGGGTCGATATTTAATGTGCATCATGAGCTATCACTCGTGAATTTTTCGTTGCGGGTGCTACAGCTCTGGAGATTCTGTGGGGCCCGTTAAATACTGAGAGTCAGAAGACAACAAAAAATTATATCATACCATCAGCAAGTCGCAATGGGTGCAGAAGAGCGTCAGAAATTATATCCTATTCTGTCTGCGGGCGAGGATCGTCGTAGTCCCAGGAGTGATCGGCCCTTTTTGTGGTTTGGGGGTTTGGTTCTTGCTTTTGTACTTGTGGTGACTGGAGGGATATGGCTAATATGATAGCATTTAATTAACAATATGATACACTCTGTCTCTCCTATCCCATACAGAGCGCATAAGAAGCATCTCTAACTTAATTCATGACGATTTTTTTCGCTATTTATAAGCTGATGCAACTAAAAGCTAACTTGGTCAGATTCGTTCTTTCTTTTAACTGGCTATTCAGCAACAGAAAGCTTAAGTTATTCGCACCGCAAAAACACGGGAAAAAAAGAGGAAATCAATCTATTTGCTGACATAAAAATCAACTCAAAAACACAAACTATCACTCGTAACTATTATAACTCTCCCACATAGAAGCATAAAATATACATTCTGAGGCCTTGGTTTCACTTCTCTCGAGAAGTACGTATATGGCGTGACAAAAAAAATCGCCAAACACCGGCTTATCAATTTTTATGCAATAGCGTATGTATACGGAAATTCAAAGGGCATTTTGACACATGGTAAACTGGCGATTAGACTTTTTTTTTCACGTGTGAATTATGAATTGCTTCAGTATCTGTTGTGCTGCTTTCCCAGGATCCTATGGCGCTACGTTTACATTTAAGTGATGACACGTAGAGGCACAAGTGTCTCGAAGAGTCACAGCGCGCCGATAGAATATGGTGGGACGGAGATATTCGAGTACACACTAGCTGGCTGGCTGGCTGGCTAACTGTTGGGGAGGCTGCATATTGACTGACTGACTGACCTAGCTAGCCCCGCTTTCGTTAATTCTTCCTTCTTTTCTGCCTTCCTTGCTTTCTCATCGTTCTTTAAATCTCTCATCACACGGGAAGGCGTAGATAGGAGCATCATATTGATTCGATGGTATCAAAGCTTAGTTGAAGTATAGCTAGGCTACCGGGCCAGAGGGACGATTATTATTGATTGTAGAGGTCGAAGCATGGAGGCTGCCGGCAGGCAAGAGAGAGCGCGGGCCCTCCGTAAGAATAGCGTGACAGCACGTGTTGTATACAGGATAAGTATATGTGCAGATCTACGTACTACATGTACGTACATGATGTACGATATATATTAATACATGTAGCTAGTTTAACCATATATCCACCCCACTAGCCAGGCCGGCTGCTATCCTTCCTCTAGCTAATACCGGCTATGAAAACAAAACAAAATGGTGATCAGTCTACACAGTCAACACAATCACTGTGATCACGTCTTTGCACTTTGGGGTATACCTGGGGTTGGGGAAATTCGAGTGGCTTGACAAATCAAAAACCCTCATCCAACTTCATGCCAGTACGCCACGCCACGCCGCTTCCGATTCGTCTGACTGGTGACTGAGTGTTGCTGGCAAATCAGCTATTTGCTCTGTCGTTTGCGATGGTTAATGACGGTCAGCCAGGGAACAATCTTACTCTATTGGCCCTGTGCTCGGACTTGGCGCCATGAGGACAAAAAGGTTCGAAACAATTGTTCCTACAGGCACATACGTATACTGCGAACGAACCTGAGTATTTCCCGTACGTAATGGAAAGCACTCGCTGTTCCATAGATCCGCTGGCTGGCTGCCTCGTGATGTGTAATTAATCCGACTCTGGACAGCATATGTACTAGATGGAGAAAGGTTCCCATGCAATACTTCCAGATGCTCGAGCTTTCGGCAGCCTCATAATCAAGCCACTCACTCGCTTCAATACTCGCCTGGCTAGCTAGTGGCGGATGCATTTCCCCGTCCGGATATGTACTTCTGTACTCTACTTATCTTCTACATGATCTCAGCTCATGCATCCATCTTCACCCCATCCGCGCGTGGCATCGACCCATTCCCACCGTACTGACCACACCCAACAGCGAACCAGCTTAATTCAAATCGTGATACGGCCTCATGAAACCTCAGTGATCACTGATTACCCCCCGCGTATACATGTAGTCATTGCATTGCGCAACCACCCGGCCATGGCCACCCCACCTGCCCAGCCTACCCAGCCTACCCAGCTCGAGTGATCTACCGTGACCGGCGTCGCAGCTACCTAGTCAGTCAGTCCCAGGAAACAACGCAACGCAACCCCCTCAAACAAACCCACAACCACACAACCGCACAGCCCGCAACCGCCCCGAACCAAATCAGAGCAAAACCGCCAGGGTTAAACCTGAGCCTAAAATAACGCACGGACCGGGACAGACGCGTGGTGTAACGTGTCAAAAAGCTTAGCACCGAGCCGCTAACGTTTCATGTTTTCCCTAATGTGGGTCTGCACGCTTCTAGAGTAGTTTGAAACTTCGAATACCTACTTAGTCGGGATGTAGAGAGGAGGAAAAGGGGGGGGGGGGGTAATGATCGAATATATTTATAGACTTGATTATGGAGTTGAATACTAATGCGGAATGAATGGAATGGGATACACGCCCCGCTATGGCTGTGTCTGCATCCATAAGGGAAGGGATACGACGATGTTTCTCCAACCAGCACAAGTGTCCAAGCAAGTCGCTCACGCTCACTCGGATGAGTCGGGTCGAACGGGTACGTCGGTCGGGTTCTAATATGATATGGGACCGGACGTCGGTCATGGGAACAATTTCTCGTGTCCGTCAGTCAATGCGCTTAATGCTCCTCTAGATCTGGGTACTCCTGGACTCATTCGAGCCCGTTGCCCTGCCCTGCCCAGCCATTTCCCAGCCAAATGTGTATTGTACCTACATAAACAACTATATTGTAAAACATGACGATGCATACAGTATCCCATTAAGCAGGTACCGCACTCCACAGTTCGTTAATTTACTGTACATATGCTGGAAAGGAAAAGAACTTCGCTTTGGCGAAAAGTAAAATTGCACAACGCCCAAGTCGAAGAGGGGGCGCACCCAATCACATATTAACATTTACTCTGATCTTCAGCTCATGGGGTGCTAGCTGGCTGTCGTCACTGTTTAAAGTGCAATGTCGCGATTGGGCTGCCTACCGATACCGATACCGATACTGATACCGATGGTTAGTGGAGGCGTTTTTTAATTCCAACCAGCTACTAGTAGAGTAGCTGGTAGCTCAAAAATGACATATCTACACGATTAGGATCTTAAAGAGTTGTTTGCCTTCCCCCCCCCCTCGTCCCATCCACCAACAAAACAAACAACATTAAAAAAAACCCACCGGCTAGCTAGCTTAGCGAAGAAGACACAGAAAGAAAGAAAAAAGCTGAAAAGGGAACCTCCCCCCCAAAAGCAAATATTAAAAAAGGCACAGAGTCGACGCCCTCATCTCGGAAATTAGGGCCGTCAGTGTTGTTGACCACTTTGGAGTCTCTACCCAGCAGTGATCGTCGCACAGCACCAGGGTTCAGCCATCCACATCCAGAAAGGGTCAGGGGTGCCGCCGAAAGCAGCCAACTACAACCAAGCCAAGATCATAATTACTACATGTAGGTAGGGGTGAGTGGGGGTAGGGTTACCTCGTAGGGAATAAGGTAGAGAGTACCCTGGCCAAATGGTAAATTGGTTGTCGCGCATAAGGTACGGTGGGGAATAAGTAAGCTTAAAGACACTGCGTCACTTGGAGCTGGAGGGGTACAAGGCGACGATATGGAAATTGGAGGTTCTGGTAGTGGTGGTGCGGGCTCATTTTCAAGTAACTAAACACCCTCTCTAGATCTGACACGCAGAGAAAAGATGGGATCGAGGGAGGAAAAAAAAGAATTTTCGCCGGTTACATGCAACAAGAAGTAATATACAAAAAAAAGACAACCTGAGCCCAAAATAAAAAATTGTAAACACAGAAAAAAAAGCACAAAAACACCATGTACTTGACCATCCCGTCCTCCACACGGAACTCGAAAAAAAGACAAAGAAAAAAACTGTACAAACTTTGCACATTGTATTTGGTGAAATACCATGTTGGCGTGGAAATCCTCAGTAGTAGTTATCGTAGCCATCCCCAATCAATTCCTCAGAATTGATCAAGTAACAAAAAAAAACCACTTCCAACCCACTGAGAATATCCACAAAGAGGCCGCCGCGGGGGAGAGGGGAAACATTACAACCCATTAAAAACAGACTTCTATATTTTATCCACCCTAACTATTCCCCTCCCACCCTCTTCCTCCTCCTCCCATCATACCCATTCCATCCCATCACCGCTCAATATTTAGAGGGCGAAGACAGCAGCAACAAGCATACCACCAAGCGCAAGCGCAGACGAGACTCCAAAGCTGGAAGCAGCGCTCTCATCGTTCTGGAAGACAGGTGTAGAGGTGTTGCTGGCGCTCGTGTCGAGGGTGATGTTGACACACATGTAGCGGCCACCGCCGGCCTTGTGAATGACGATGGAGCGGTTTCCGATGAAGGCGGCGATGCCGGACTTGGTGGAGATGAAGTTGTCGACGTAGGCGTCGTGGAACTCGACTATAATCAACCAATTAGCCCACTACTCTTCCCCACATTCCACATTAGAGAGAGAAAACATACCCAGAGAGCCATTAGTGTTGGGGACCGCGTTGTGCTTGCCAGACATGTCGCCGACCTCGCAGGTCTCTGGCGCGGTCTTGTCGCAAGCCGGGGTCTGGCCGCGTTGGTAGGGGTCGAGATGGGCGAGGGTACCGTTGCAGTTACCGTCGGCGGGAACGGGCTGGTCGTGGACGTGGTAGTTGAAGGGGCCGGTAGCGCCGCTGAATCCCAGAAGGTCGACTTTGACGGCGACGCCGGTGCCGTTGGTGCTGGCGGTGAATGTCATTTTACCAGTGACATTGCCCTCAAAGGTTGCGGAGTAGCTGGGCGGAGTGTTAGTGCGGGCTTGATTGGATTGGATGGGATTGGATTGGGTATCAGCGACTTACGTTGTGCCAACTGGGTTATCGTTGATGACCGCGGCGGAGCCTAGGTAGTTGGCGGGGAAGCCAGTAGTGGTCTGGGCAGAGACCGCGGCGACGGCGAGAACAGAGGAGGCGAGGATGGACTTGAACTGCATCTTGACTGGTGGTGGTTGGTTGGTTGGTGGTTGTTGTGGTAGGTAGAGTTGATTTGATTAGAGCTGAGTATATGAGTATATATAACAGAGTATTGAGGAGTGAGTTCAGCGAGCGACGAGACAGGAAAAAAAGAAACAGATCAAGATGTGTGGATAGAAGGGAGGGGGGAAAGGGAGCGGAGGTGCAGTGCAGTCTTATACACTCAGGCCTGGCTGGGGGTGGAGGGGGGGATGGGTGGTGGTGGTGGTGGTGGTGGTGGAGGGGAGATGGATGGGTGGGCTGGGGGGAGAAGGCACAGAGAGAGAGGTTGCTGGCAGCTAGCTGTATGTCTCTCGATGGCCCACCCTACGAACCACGCACACACACACACACGCGCACATACATCACATCACATAAGGGGGGAGAGTGGTGGGAGGGATTCTCTACCTTGATGGATTTCTTTAGGTCTAGCCAAACAAAAGCCCGGTCTGCCTCTAGATACTCTACTTTCCTCCTCTCTACTCTCTTGCCATATTCCCGAAAAAGTAAAGAAACCTAAGAGTAGACAAAAAAAAAAGGTGTCTGTGGGGCATTGCGACTTCCTACTGGTCCAGCGCTTTTTTTTCCTTTTCTTTCCTCTCTCTTTCCCCCCTGCTAAACTATCACCTCCCCAGCCCCATTAGTGATAGAGATCCTGTTCCTGCGCCACTTGGTGTGGATAGAAAGTGCTTATTCTAGCAACTTTCTCATTTATATTTTTGTCTATTGGGTACAGCTGCGACGTCTAAGTAATGACCCACTGATACTAATCGAGTATCTATCTATATGTTCTTTTTAGATCTCGAGGATCTAAATATTGATAAGTTTCGTTTCTGATATTTTCGATCTCCCAAACAAATGTGGCGGAGCACGTCTTCTTTAACGCTTCTATCCATCCATCCACCAAAACGGGGATATGTTCGACCCGGAATAGATTCTAATCGATAAGCCAAGGCCCACCCCCCTCTGGATCCCTAAATGCAAATATTGATTGCAAATGTTACTCACCTTACTTTGCTTGCTCCCCTCGGCGGCGGCGGGCCTGGTACTCCTCCAATGTACCTGAGTAACATTAGCAGCATCGAAAAAAGTACCTGGACATATTAACCTACCACCCCCCTACCAATATTCTCCCATGTCAATATGTAGGTAGGGCAGTACCAATGCACCCGGCGCTCCGCAACCACAAAACCCCCTACCTTATTTTTAGCCCTGCCTTCCCGTACGTACTTACGTCGCGCGCGACGTTCGGGGAAAAAGCGTCGACAACGTCGTCGGCCGGCGGAAAACCCTGGATAATTTTATTATTGCGGGTTTTGACGTCGCACTGCTGCTAGCTAGTGCTAGCTGCTACATACAGCAATGTGCAATTAGACTAGTTACTCAAAGTGCATTTTTTTTCATTATCTTACTTACACGAGTGACCCGAGAAATGAAATCTTTACTCCGGGCTCTCGCCTCGGTGTCTGGGCATAATATTTACCTACCAGCACAGTTGTCTTCTGCCTACTCTCTCTACCGAAGTAGAGTACCAAGATCACAAATGTGTCTCTACACACGTAGGACTCGATACCTCGAGTAAGTAATCAGAATCGCATATACCCAAGCCAATCGGGCACTTGTCGCTCTCTGCTTGGTTCAATTCTTCGATGATCGTGCAAAAAGAAAAAAGAACAAATGGTTGGCAGTATTTACTCCGGCTCCAGCCAGCCTAGCTGCGTGATATACGATACCTACTTTGCTTCTCGTTCTCTTTTTGTCTATTTCTGATGACTCTACACACATGTACCTCACTTACGAAGTAGAAGAAGACTCGACATACCGGTGATCCACTGCAACGGCCGCGGTCGAGCCGCCTAATGCATAGATCTGGGCCGCTCGGATACATCAATCATATGTATCACGGCTACCTATCCAGTCTGCCACCCGTCATTCATTTTGAAGGGCCGGATGGACGCTCGATGGTTTGTTACAAAGTAAACACCAAGTTGCACTCACTCTATGTAGTTAGGTACATTGTTAGCTAGTTAGACATTATGACAATTATGACAATGCGTCGTCCATCGGATGTGGAGAAACCGTCGACCCTTGGCTTCCCTTCCCTTCTTTCCGATCCCACACCAATCCCAATCATAAAAAAGGGAGGAGGCAAGAAGAACGAAAGACCACTGGGTGAAACACGATTAGCGGAAAACAAAGACCGGGCTGGTAGGGTTCGGTTCGGTCGAGCTGCTGCCACGAGGGAGGAGGATGGATGGATCATCATTGATGGATGGAAGAAAAAGACTCCGGAGCGAAGGAGGAGAGGATCAGCCTGGTAGAGTAGAGTAGGTAGCTCGTGAGACATGGTTGGGGGTGTAATTGGACAATTGGCAGGGAGGGGGTGCGTGTTTGTTCGTTCGATGTAAAGTACGGTGGTAGGGAACGGATCCGAACGATCATCTACTCAGGAGGGAAGGGTGTCTTGTCTGTCTGCTGTATGGTTCAATTGTAATTGTAATAGTAGACAGCTAGCTAGGGCATGTCTCTTCGAGCGCGAGTGGTCAATTAGTCGAATGGCCCGTACTCGTAACTCTTCTTCGGGGCAACCATCAGTGCCAATCGGTATGCTGCAATTACAACTCTTACCTTTTCTCCCCAGCCCTCTCCAATTGATCTTTCCCTCTCTAATCAGGTATCGTGAAGTCAGTTAGCGAGTGGAAGAGTGGCTGACATTTTGGACATGTTCGAAATATGCAGGCCCGCCCCGGATCGCCAGAATCTTACCCCTTCAATTGTACCCCGGCCTCCCCTGCTGCTCCTTATTGGCGAGTCGAGCAAGTGCGGCCGGCGGAGGGGCGGTGAGTTAGCTAAGTTAGCTTTTTTTTTACTACAGCGTGAGGTAGAAGTATGGGAAGAGCCCTATTGGCTTGCCCAGCCATAGAAACCCTGTTTTTAGACCCTCTCGCTGTAGGTGCAGTTTATTATTTAGAGTTGGTGCCATGTATGCATAACGCAACAGCAACAGCGACAGACAACAACAACAATAACAATAACGTCCGGAATCGGTCAGGACCTCAAACTAGTTCTCACTCTCTGATATCTCACTCGGTATCTTTTGGGCAATTAAGAACATGTTGGTAAAATAGAACATCTAAGTACGGTTCTACTCTACCTACCCACACAAGCGCTTGATGATTGTCTCCGCGATTCGTTTAATGTGGTTAGGTTGCAGTCCCGGTGACCTGCCTTCTGCTTGATCTGCGTCCCCAGTTTTTCCTGGTCTCGTCTCCCCCGAACACAGAACAAAACAAAACAAAACAACAATAGTTATCTACCGGTCATGTTTGTCAGACCGGCCATGTGACTTTGCTACATACAGATGTGCAGATAACTATCCACTGGCGACAAAAAAGCATCAGCACAATAACACCACCACCACCGGGTCCCCGCAACATGGGTGGCCCGATGGCTGGAAAAAGGTAATGTAGACAAATTTGATATGCAGGAACAGTAACAGCAACAGGGACAGCAGGCAACAGCAATTACACACGGCACACACCACACACAGGCACACAGGCACACAACAACAAAGCTGCTCATTTCTCCCGGCTACCTGCTTTGCTTGGGAGACAGACAGACAGACAGGCCGTTTGTGTTTTTCGTTTTTTGTTTTTTCTGTGTGTGTGTGTTTTTGTTTGAATTAAGTCGAACTGCTATGTACTACATATTGCGACATGGTTGTGGAAAACGGTTCAGGGGGAGATTTAATGACCTTCACTGTCTAAGGCAAGACAGAGCAGGGTAGGTAGGTATCCATGTTGTGCGACAGATTGATCAGAGAAGGACCATTTCCTTTCTTTCCTTTTTCTTGTTCCTGTTCCTGTTCTACGGGAATAACTGAAGCGATAGGTTGTTCGCCAAATTTACACATTGTTGTCCTAGGGCAGAGGGAGCTGGCTGGCTGGCTGTGCCTGACACCCACAGGCTGGACACATGGTAGGAGGTATAAGCCAAATCATGGCTTGCACGCCCATCAAGCGGTCACATCACATCACCGGCGGTGATGCAGTCAGCTTAAAGTTTTTTGTAATGAAGTCATCTAGACTACAGTACCGTACATATGTTAATGTATCTCCAAGTAGCTGGGTACCTAGCTACATACATGATCTATCATGATCATCTATCACATTTTTCCCCTCCTAAGATTCTTCGATCTCTCGACTCAACCCCCGGATGTCTTATCTCAATCTTGTCTAGCCCTACCTATCTGCCTGCCTGTGTATCCCTAAATTAGATATCTGTCAGATGAACAAGCGAGAGAAAAACTGGTCAGCCATGATTGTGGGTTTGCGAGCATTTTCGAGAAGGCATGCAAAGTATATGTGTATGCATCGCGCTTATCAAGGGCACTAGCTGCGGCTGATATATGATTGTACTTCATAGTTAATCGTTTACGTTATCGGCCGTCGACGTGACGATCCCAGGAAAAACTCAAATTCTGCAGGTTTTGAATTGTTGGTTGCGAGTGGCTTACGCTATTCTACTCTACCTACTGACTGGGAAAAAAGCTGCATATTTGGATTGTTGAAGTGGCTTACGCTATCTACTTACTGACGTTCTCCTCACTCCCAGCCTTATTTGATAACAGAAACTCTAACTTAGGAATATGGAGGCTGGGATTGTAGGTTGTCACATATCTGGGGCTGGTGTCGATATGATATGATATGTGAGGCGGGGGTGGAATAACTTACAATTATGCAACTGTGCATGAGCATTTAAGCTTAAGCTTATCTGATTGATTGATGCTCACCCCTTCCCCGGACCTTCCCCCCTGGCCAACTACATGCGGGAGTATATATAGCTTGGCTATTACACTTACACACAGTCAGGACCTCGCTCGGCGTGCACGCGAGAGTCAGAGCCAGAGGTGAGGCTGGTGATGATCGTGCACTACTCTAATCACTAGTGGAGATGAGGATTAATCTATTTTGGTGCGGTGGTCGTGTGAGCGAGAGGGACCATGAGAGTAAGAGTGTGAGAGTGTGAGAGTGAGAGTGAGCGAGAGTGCAAGAGAGATTAGAGAGGCTTGAAACTTAGTTTTGGATTTGGGATTTGGAATCTTTGGGCATGGGATTTGGGATCGGAATTTGGAGTTTGGGGTTTGGGTCGGTCTAGCTTGGAGTCCCTTTATTAAATAAATGTCTGTTCTGCCATAACTCATGTAACTCTGGTCCAGTCTGAATAGAGATTTGGTGATGTGGCAGAACGATTCAAAGTGCGACTGAATTACCTAGTTTAGTTGAAGCTCTGACAGATAGGAGTAGGTTAAGCCAATGAGAAGGGGCTTACTATTTCCATTTTCACCAGCTATAGACGTGACATTAATATCTATTACAATACTGCCTACCTACAGTTGGTAGCTCCATATTAAACCGTAGGAACGTGTGTCTACTTAATAGCTCGATATTAGAGAAAGTGTGGCTTACGCGAATAGGAGCAAAGTGCAAGGTGTCTAATTCTAATTATCCCTTCGTCTGGCAAAAAATGCTGACCCCCCCAAAAAAAGCAAACTTTTGTGTGGCTTTACTAACAGATCCTGTTGTCTCTCTTATCAAATAATAGATCTCCCATACAAATTTAATTCCTCTATTATAGGGGGGTCAGCATTGCCAGACTAAGGGATAAGTTAACATCCCACGCAAGTCCTGATAGGACAATTGCGCAGAGAATTAATTATTTGAGCTGCACTTTTTTAGAATTTCAAAAGTGCAGCTCCTAGCTGTGCGCGCCGGACTGCGCACCGCAACCACCGGTACTAGTGCTTTCAATTAATTCACGCGCAGTCAAGAGGCTACATATTACTACATATAGTAGGATAAATTCTTACTACACCTAGTTGTGAATCTACTCTAGACATCTCCGAGTACCACTACTCACTATCACCACCACCCACTAGTCCATTGGCGGCCTACCACCCACAGCCACCCACTACCACCCCACAACCCGCAACCCACTACATCATGATAAAACTAAATCAACCTTACTTAAAGTCCGTTGTCTTTCTAAGCTAATAACTATCCGAACTGTACATATGAAACTGCCATATCATCATTATCTGTGTTGTCACGCATATTAATGCATCACTACCACCACTACAAAGGCATTGTTTCATGTGCAGGGGGGCATGGGACAGAAATTTCCGTTTCAGTCGACACCCTCATGCAGGGACGTCGTGGACAACGCATATTTTTTTCTTTGCTATCTTCATGTGTATTCTGCTCGATTTGAGAGGTTCGGGCCTCGCTAACTAGAATCATGCTTAGCTATAGCGCAAAATGAGTCGAGTCGCGAATTATGGTATCTGAGTCTGACTCCTCTAATTTGTATTAGTCACTCTCCATCATGGTGATGAGACCGGGCATCAAAATAGTGCTTTGGTGATGTGGACGTTGTCGCACGCGATGATAAAGGTGGTGGTGGTGAATATGCAGTTTTTGGAGGGCAAATGACTGTTTTCACGGGAAAACGAGTGTTTGAGCCCGGAACGCAATCGGTGGCTGAGCGAGGCTCTGACGAGGCGGAGTGCCGAGTGAGAGTCCATGATTTAAGAAAGAATCACTATCACCTGCACTATCAACCCACGCGGAGGATCTGGTGGCTGGTCTAAAGGGTACGCGAACCGGGAATATCTCATACACACAGAAGACGTGCGTAGATGGCGTGCTTTTTTCATTTTTCCTGGTGGGGTATCGGTGTCGTCACGCATAGCTGATGGAAAAGCTGTTGCTAAGCTATGGGGTAATCAAGAACGCTGCAATTGGCCATGGCCATGGCGAGTGATATGAAATTATTTCTCTCCTGAGCATTCGCTCAGCGTTACAGCCTTAAGATTATTTCTTGGTAGTTTTAGATAGAGGAGCGCCGTCGCCGCCTACGCCGCCTGTGCTATTGTAAGCTGCTTTTTAGTATCTTTCTTTTTCTTTTCTTTTTCTTTTCCTTTTAGCCTTCGTGTTTTCTTTCCTATTTTCATTTCATTTTATTCTGTTGGGTCTTTTGTAGCGAGGCCTAGTCGGCGAGGTGAAGAAGATATGTTAATTACATACATGCAATTACACTTTTTCATAAGCCATTTGCGGTATTTTCGGAGATAGAGCATGATCAGGTGGAAATTTTTTCTTCTTCGGAATTAGTTGAATCTTGCTTTTGCACCGCCGCAGACTCATTGGATTTTTTGGAGGCGCAACTAGCTACTCGTACTTGTAGCCTAACTTTTATCTCATGATCCGGGAAAACGTATTCCACGTAGTTACCTGTGATTATGGAGAATTAGTACTTTTTACAGAAGCTAGGCGGAATTTCTTTTATGGGGTAAAAATTACTTTTGGCGGGAGTGGTGCTTTTACAAATCTACGGAATTCTGGGGAAAGTTTCTTTTGGCACCGGGGGAATGGCGTCAATGCAATTTTTCCTTTCTTTTTTCCATCTTCTTTACCCTACTAGCGAATTCATGGAGAATTGCTGTGGATGGTTTATTCTAGAAAGTAGATCAGCTTGCATGCTGCATCGGCGGTATGGGGTAATATAAGCTTCGCATACATATTATACATTGTATATATAGACTACTATATTGTGGGGAGAACACGGGACCAGGTTTTGATAGTCGATATAGACACGTACCTTCAAACCAAGTCAGCATATGGTATAGATTACTTAATTCTTAGCACTTGATTCTGCCTTAGTTAACTGTATTATGTTTGTACAATATAAAATTGCACTCTCTAGAGAGGCTCGTGTAATACTGATATAACTGGTAAGTCTTCCAGATTATGCAGGGTCCTTGCCGCCTTTAACGCTACCGAAAGGCACCCGTTTTTCTAAGATCCGGTGCTACCGATCCTATAGTGATAGGTCATAGTGTTGTTTCGAGAAGATGCGGTTGCCCGAGTTGTAGTCGGTAACCAATTAGTTTCTAGCCGGCGAGGCTTCGAAGAGGGAGAGAAGCTCGAGTTGTAATTGTTCTCAAGAGATGACAAGTGGTCCCTGCCACCTCCACATTGGTATGATATCCAGTGGTATAATATGTATAATATATGTTCTATTAATCAGAACAAGGCTTGTCTCTTACTTTCCCATAATACCTAGTGTATGGTTCCGTATGAAAGGAAGAAATGGGATCCAAAGGCTATAGATCCCGTGATGATATACATAGATCTGCTGTTGAATTATCCAGTTTGTTGGATTGTAATGGGCAGATATGTGCTTAGTTAGGAGTGGGTCGTGCTTTTAATCTTGTTGCATCTTGCCGCTGGTAGATCTTAAGAGATGAAACCAATGGACTGGCCTCTGCTGCAGTTATCGAAACATCTGGAAGGAAGATAATGAGTTCCCATAGATCCTAATACAGGCGTATTTACACACAGTGCCTTAAATGGGTTCCTGCTGCCGCTGTGCTACCGGCAATCGAAAGGTCTTGAGGGGGTTTATCCTCGAGCCTCTATAGATCTTGGTATAGACGTACATATTAGAATGCCTTAAATGGCTCCTGTAAGCCTGGAAACCCAAATAGTCTTTGAACCTTTGTCCTTGCATCAATGCTGTAGTTCTGTTCGAAATCGATTGACTTTCCCATCAGACATACCCCCCCCCCCCAAAGGAAAAAAGCACAACACAGCAAGTGGTTCCTGCAGCTCCTCAAGGGTGGGAAGATGAATCAAGCGTTCCTGCTCTTCTCTTCCCCTCTCCTGCTCTCAAAAAATTCGGTCATTGCCGCCAGTACCGAAATTTTCGAACTGCATTCTACTCTACATGTTTCTATATATTTTCTCGAACCATGTAGCTTGCGACCTTTTTCCCAACGAGGGGTTGATAATAGGTACATACCGTCTATACGCATATCATCACCTGTAGCCACCTAAAGAGACACACAGATCTCCTTTTCCATGCAATATGGAACGCTCGTTCCCCTTGGAAGAAAGGCTTGAAAAGAATCAAGGATCATTTTCCTCGTACCCTACCATACAATTATCCGCGGCAAGGCATCCGTACCTGACTGAGTGAGGGGTTTTTATGTTCTATTTTCATTAGTCCATACGGCAAAGAAGAAAACTAGACAGGAAGTAGGTAGGAACGTAGATATGGTGATATCGTGGTCGATTACTCAACGACGGATAACGTACGGGTACGCGGCATGAGGGGTGTTGATACAAGCTTTCCATATATCCATGCCAGTCGGAGGAGAAGAAGCGAGGCGGAGCAAGCCAGGGGGGTTCTAGTAGTGTAGTTGATGAAGTGTAGAGAGTAGAGTGAATGTGAATCATCAGTCTAGTGAAGAAGGGTCGTGTAGGGGGAAGTCGTCCACCCTTCTCCACCAACAACCCCCTATCACGAGACCGGTCCCAGATCTACAATACTCCAAGATTACGTTTACCCTAGGCTCGTTCCAGAAAAACAAGCTTTTCTGACATCGGCGCTTAGGTCGGTTCTAGACAGAGGGGCTAGAATACACTGGGCCCCGGAATTGCTATGGTAATTTCTTTAAGCGCCTGTTGGCGTCTGTCTCGGAGGGAGAGAGATTTGGTATAGGATACATGATATGCAGTGATTCATGGCCCGTCACTCGTGAGTTTGGACACGACGTTGGGGTTGGTTGGGCCCTTGGGCGAGTACGTTTGTTTAGTCCAAGAGGGTGGTCGATGGTTCGGGGGGTGGAACAGATCAAACAGGTTAGGGCTGATATGATCGATAACGCAACAGGGTCAATGAATGAATGCCTTACGGGGCTGGGGTATGGTATGGCATGTAGGGGCTTGAATGGCGGATCTACTCAACATAGTCTAACCTCTTCCTCTCCGTCGAGCTGCCCTTTCTCTGCTTCTCATCCTCCTCATTCTTCCAACACAGCCTCCGTGGAGGAGCACTGACAAGGGACGCCGGCGCCGCACCGCTAATAATTGATCTCGGTCTCTGTCAGTTCTTTCTGCATGGCATGGCGTCGGCATTAAAACGTAATCGAAGCTCCCGTGGGCCCAATTTGTCATAAGTCTTGACGCTGTGCTAGGAATGAGTCTTTCTCCCCTTGTGTGGGGGCGCGGGCGTTGTTGCATAGAGCATAGAGCTTGTAGCTACCAGGGTGTCATCGTATGTACTGTATGTATGCACAAGCTAGCAAGATACATACCAATTCGCATTTCAAAACTGTTGTCGGTTGTTCTTTAATTCCCTGCTGCTCTAGAGACACATCCACGGCCACACACGCACGTACGCTGCAGACAGGCTGGTAGGTAGGCAGGTAGGAAAGATGGTGCATGTATGCATGACGCTCTCTCTGTCTTATACTTACGAGACTCACCTCACTGATCACTGTCTGTTGATCTATCTTCTGTCTTAATTCGAGTCTGCAAAATAAAAAATAAAAAGAAATAATTAAAAAAAAAAAAGGAACCCACCCTACACTCTCCTATCGCGTTAGGCACACATCGCAAGGTCTAGGCCCTCCGACGCGCCCGTTGTAATTGGGACCTTTCCAAGGACCCTCTCTCTTTCTTGGTCCTCTCTCCCCAAACAAGTTCTAGGCCTTACTATTCACTCTTATGAAATCCGATATAACTGTGTGTGGTCGGGATTTTTTTTTTTTTCGCGCCCCGGCGGTTGTTCAGTTCGTGACTGTGGGGCCCCTACCTACTGGCCAGGAGAGGGAGAGAGGGCCAATTCAACCAAACCGGCCGGTCTCTTATTGTTAGCGTAACATTGTAAAAGTAGTGGTTCTCAGATGAGCCATGGGGGGTGGATCTTAGTTATGTACGGAATATTGTTGCATGAAATTTAAATGCAGCTGGGGGGGGGGGGGGGGAAGGAGGATTAGGTGGAGGAGTATAATGTAGTTCAGATGGTATATATATCTCTGTGATCTTCCCCAGTTCTGCCTGCATGCCTTGCAAGCATTTGGTAGCCTTATTTTGGTAGCCTTTCTCTCACCCATTGTGAACTAGCTGGGATTTTTTTTGTCCTACATACTACTAGCTACCCTCTCGGACTAGTTAATTGGGGGACGCCTCCTCTGCGCTGCTTAAATTTCCCTACGCTCTGCACTGCTTTTTCATAACTGTCGTCACTGTTACCACCACCACCGCTATTACTACTACCATTTACTATTGCCATACATTTTACTTACTTATACGGGGTATACCACTACTGAAGGTATGTAATTGCCTCACTATGGCTTATTTGGATGCTAGAGTAGGCTAGCGGTTTACAACTACTATAGTTAGCTGTCATACGAGAAACATGAATTGCTAACCCTGAGTTGAAGGAATCACATCTTTGGGCCAAAGAAATAAAGCCGAGAAGTTAAAGTAGGGCAGGGGAAAAAAGGATCTAGGAATATCGATATATCTCCGGGCCAACACTTCACTCGAAAACAAACTCACAATCCAACCAAAAGACTTATCTGGGCCCTAAAAAGAAAAGGAAGGGTTAAAAAAGAAAAGTACGATATCAAAAGGAACTACCCTCCACTATATAAGCCAAACAATATCCTTCACATATCATCAAGCTCGAATTCCTCCGCCAACCTAAAAATCGGGGGAGGATAAAAACACTCATTTATACCCAAATAAAAAGCAAAGTGGGAACGGCGTACCTCTCGAATTCAGTCGCATCACACTCCTTCTCTTTTTATCTACACTCCCACATCGATCATATTATTACCCATGCCTGCAAAGAAGAACAAGAAGCTTCTCGAGCTGGGACTCAAGAAGTTTCTCGACGGCTCTCCCATAGCCTCGGCCGCTGAAATTGCGGACGCTGGCCCACGAACTATCTATCGCGCAAAAGAGCGAGTCAGAAAATACGGAGCAGTATATGCGCCCAAGCCTGAGAACGAGGGTCGCCCGCGGGAGCTGGATCCCCATATGATGGAGGTATGCATCAACCCTCGGCCCCGTTATTCTTAATCTATATGCTAATCTAGAAACAAACATACAGTGGCTGTTGATGCTCCTCGAGGGAAAGCCAGATATGTATCTTGATGAAATGCGCGATGAGCTCGAGGACGTCTATGATCGCAAGTTCAGTCTCCCTACAATCTCACGGCGCCTTAAAGAAGCCAAGTGGTCAAAACCCGTAGCCGTCAAAGAAGCACGGCAGCGGAACGCTGAGGCGCGCGATAGCCATCAGGAGCAGATGCGCAAGTTCCGTCGTTCGCAGCTGGTTTTTGTGGACGAGAGTGGAGCGAACGAGAAGGTTGGTGACCGTAAGAGGATCTGGGGCTATCGTGACTTTCCGCCAAAGCATTCCAACAACACTGAGGCCAGTAGTGGTGGTGCTTCTGGCGTGAATGGGGGACATCGTGAACGCGAATCGCCTCCTACACTAGGATACCCCATTTCACCGCCGCGTGAGAATAATGGCCCGGGGTCATCTAATCAGAGTTTTACCAAAGAGGCCCCGGCAGGACTGGCGCCTACGCAGAAGGAGGGAAAGAAGCATGAGAGATACTCGATCCTCCCGGCGTTCACTATTAATGGTAAATATCTTATATACACCCACTTCATGTTAACAAATTTCTAATTAGCCTTTCTCTAGGTTTCTTGTGCCATGACATAGTGGAATCAACGCCTGCGCCCCCGTGGGACACCGAAAGCTTTTATATCTTCCTGCGAGACACTCTTCTACCTTTATGCAACCCCTTCCCGGGAGACAACAGCGTAATCATAATGGACGACTCACAGTTCCATCGTGGTGCTGAAATACGGGAGCTAGTGGAGGCCGCGGGGTGTAAACTCATCTACCTGCCACCATGCTCACCTGACCTGAACCCGATCGAGTATTCAATGATTTATGTTAAGAAATGGATCAATCTACACACAATCGAGTTTCAGAAGGCGGGCGACGAGGGATATCTTCCGCAGTTCTTCGAGGCCGCGATGCAGGCTGTGGACGCAAGGGCATGTGATGGGTTCTTTAGAAAGGCTGGGCTGTAGTAAGTTGGGGAGGTCGGAAGCAGCTGCTATTACTGCATGTACTACTAACAATGATGATATTATGATGTTGCGAGTAGTGACTAAGGCGGTACTATTCTGGGGATATACAGCGGCCTTTGTTTCTGGAAGTTGTTTTTTCTTTTCTTTTCTTTTCTTTTCTCTTCTTTTCTTTTCTTGGCTTGCTTTTATCGTTTTTATTATTCTTTTCTCTTCTCATTGTTTTTCTTTTCTGGGACAAAAAAATTGGCATTGGGATGCATATGGGCATGGTTTGAATCTAGTACTTTGTGGCTTACGCCTAAGAGGTGGTGAGCATGAGAGACTGAGGCATTCTCTCACTTCCTCTCTCTTGGGTGCTGGGTATATTCCACAAGTACTATTGCATATGGGGGCTTTCCTTGGTTCTATTTCTCTACATCATTTCCCCCATATCGAGGGAGCGGGCGAGCGGGGGCGGGTAGGGCGGGGACGTGGGGGGGTTGTGTGGGAGCAGCAGGAGTTTTTTGATTTTTTCTTTTCATTTTTTTTTTTCATTTTTTTCATTTTTACATTTTCAAAACTGTATAGGGAACCCGCGGAGGGGAACACAAATATGGTACTTTGGCGGAGCCCAGGAGCTCGGAGCCCGGGGTGTTTTTTCTTTACATTTTCTTTTTTCATGGCCGGTGTTTTTCTTTTTCTTTTTCTTTTTTTTTTTTCACAATTCGCTTTCATATTCTAATAAATTGGACATCATTTTCCCGAGCAGTATGTTCCTTTTTTTTTTTTTTTTTGCGGACGCGTGAAGTTGAGATGAGCTCGGCAAGGCAGGGAACCAGTTATGCGGTAAAGTCAGTCACTTTAGGCCAACCAACGGCCAAACTAGATATTCATCCCTCAACAAGGCTCCTTTAACCGGAAGAGGTCATCTCGTCACCAGCCAATTGATCACATATTAGCCACCCAGCCAAAATACGCAGTGCCCATGACTCTCTGGCTAGCCGGGGGGCAGTGCAGCTGCCTATCGATAAGAGGGCCGGTTTGGAATCTGCAGAGAGGATCTACAGCGATACGCAACGCAGAATGTCTATGGAGTATTGAATCTACTCGTTGTTAACACGCCACATACAAGTTGCCTTAGGCTCGAAAAAAGTCTCCTTAGTCGGCAAGCTATACTCATACATTCCTTGGGATGGGGGTGTAGATACTAGTACAGAGTCTGTGCCAAAGACTTTTTTCAAATTGACTGTCTGCTGTTTCAAAACTACTACATGGCCAGAGTACATAGGTGCACGTTTATTGTGTTGGTTTTGTGCAAGGCTACGTCCTGATGTATTAGCTGGACTGTGGCTGGCCAATAGGAACCAGGGCAGTTCTAAATATATAAAAGGTGTATAGTTAATGCTAGCTAACACTAGTGATAACACAACCGGGAGCCCGAATGATTGCCCATGAGTCAAAACGTTGGACTTTTCTTGATTTATTTCGATGGTGGTGGTGGTGATGGTGATGGTAGTGGTGTGGAATCATTTCCCTTTCTTGCCGCTGATCATCTTCTTTTTGACGTGTTTAGGCATTTTGGTTTTTCGCATCTCGCGTTTCTCCTCCTTGACTTTTTTCTTGTGGTCCTGTTGGGACGGTCAGCAATGTGGCTTTTGGAATGGGGGTTGAAGCTGAGTGAGGAGGAGTGAGCCGGGGGAAAAGCCATGACAAGGGGTTTCCCAGAAGATGTTTGGTGCGAATTGTCACGGCAGTTAGGAATTTGGGGGAGGGGGGGAGAGAGAATAACCTTCTTTTCGTCCTTGTCTTCGTGCTTCTTCCCTCGAGGCTTCTTGTCTGCGTCTCTATCCTTCCTGTGAAGCTTTGGCGCACCATCCTCGTCCTCACCGTCACTCCCCTCCTCGCTATCATCGCCGCTGTCGCCTTCCTCGTCTTCGCTGTCACCTTCATCTTCGTCCGCGACGACCTTCTTTTCTGCCAGAAGGTCCTTGTAGACCAAATCTGCGCCCTCTCCGCGCCCGACCTTCTCTGCATCTCGCTCGACATCGTACACCTCCTCCAGTGTCCTGGGCACATACGCCTGTCTGTAGACCTCGATATCGACCTCCGTCTCGATCTCTCCGCCCCTCTGCAGCGTCTCCACAGGCTCGTCGCCCTTTGTAATCCACTCGAATGTGCGCTTCTCCGGCACCGTCTCGACGCCCTTCCTGCGGAAGAAATCGCGCACGTTCTTGATGTCCATGCGCAGGAACTCGAGCGAGCGCGGATGATCGTGCTCCACCGACTGCGACACATCAATGATCCACAGCCGTTTCTGGTGATACAGAACATTGTACTCGCTCAGATCGGCGTGCACTAGACGGCACTGCCGATACATGGCCTGCATGAGCCCCAGTAGCTCAAGGTACAGTGCGTCCCACACCCGTTCGTCATCAATGGGAGCGTCGCGCAGACGCGGCGCCGGCCACCCCTTCTTGTCGCCAATGAAGCCCATCACGAGGACGTGTAGGCGAAGATAGAGGGGCTCGGGACATGGGATACCGGCGGCCCAGAGGCGCTTGAGGTTGCGCATCTCCTTCTCGGCCCAGATCTTGACCATAGCACGAGGGTTGGACTTGTTGTATCCATTGCGAAAGCGGTGTTCGCCGCTAACGTACCGGTCTCGGTCTTTGAAGACTAGGATGGCCGTCTTATAGACCTTGATCGCGCGATGCAGGGGCGAGGACGAGTCTGGTAAGTCGGAGAGAGCATGGTAGACGTTGGCTTCCTTTCCTGTAGAGAGGACGCCGTTGATGGTGTGGATGGTTGAGCGATTGATCAGCTGCAGGAGTATCATGCGGGTGCGGGGGTCTAGCACTTGTTCGGATGTTGCGCGTTCGGATTTGTCCGTAGTTCTGTAGGCAGTGTTGCAGTATCAGTATCAGTAGGTACCAATACCAATGTCACGAAGCAGTAGCACAGCACGCAATACGCAATGCAATGCGCAATAAGCAAAAAAGCAAATAAAACCTCATTCAGTGAGGGGAAAAGGGGAAAGTGGGAGGGGCAGAAAGGTGGGAGACACAAACTTGCTAACACCCCCCATTCCACTCTCCATATCCCCCAATTTTATCCTGGCCGCGAACTTGGTCAAGCTCTGTATCTGGTCGTCAACGCGTGCCTTGACGTTTGCCTTTGGCTTCAGTTTGTTTCCCTTGACCACACCTTCTGCACTTGCGGCGTTAGTCGCCTCAAGCGCTTTCCGCTGTCGATTGTACGACTTTGTAAAGTCGCCACCCCCGCCTCCTCCGGACTCTGTCCAGTCCTGGTCGTTTAGCTCGTCGTCAAAAAGGTCATCATATGAGTCCTCGTCCTCTTCCTCGTCATCATGATTGTCGTATTCCTCTTGGAGCTGTGTGGGCGCCACTGCCTGTGATATCTCTCCTGCCTGCTCAGGGTCGGCAAAGCGGTCAGGGTTCGTGATGTAGCCTTGGTTTGGGATGTAGTCGTATTGCGGGGTTGCAGCGGCTGTGTACTGTGGGAGTGACTCTGCCATTTGTATTGTTTCTGGGTTGGGGGGGGGGAATCTTAGTGGGGAGGTTTGGGGTTGGTTGGGAGTTGTGATAGTTTTCGGAGGTAGTGCCCTTTGTATGACGTAAATTGTGCCTTTTTCTTTTTTTTTTTTTTTTGTAGGACGCGGGGCAGCGCATAGAGGGGCAGAATGTGAGGCTCTGTAGATGGTCTTGGCAGACAGAGTCATGGGGTATCACTCGGTCTAATTTAGGCCTGAAGAATGGCATATGGGATGAAATCAATACTTACTCGGGTTCACGAGAATCGCGTACGCAAAGGATAAGCACGGGCATAGGTTTTAAGGGATGATATGTCGGTCAGTAGCTACTGTCAGTCCTATTTAGTATCTAAAGACCGATCAACTAGCTAGCAGCGCCGAAATAGTTACATATATCGTGTAACAGCTACAGGCTTTGAGTAACAATTGTAACAGTACCTGCTACTATGAGCTACCTAATCTGGCAATAGGTACTACATGCAATTATCTATCTTAAAGCTAGATTCATATCGAAAAAATGTTTCAGAATTCTAAATATGGGGGGAAGGCTGGTGGTTTGCATGTAGTTGTACATACTGCTACAAAGGGTTAGAGTGAGAGAAATTCCTTTCGCAAGATCGCGAATCTGCACTCTGCGTTTTTAGCTTGCTAGCCCCATTAAGACGTGAATTCACATGAAATGGCCATGATGCATGTTCATGAGTCATCTCACCCTCCAACTCCACATCGTTATGAGCTGACATTTCTCTGAGAGCTATATCAGAAAGCGATAGCTCTATCGGAGAGCCACACCTAGCTAGCCAGTTAAATATGGATGAAATATGCCCCTGATTCAATGTCAACGTTGCCAAACCACAGCTTTAGAGGCGACACGCACGAGCTGATCTCCGCTACCGTACGCATTGCAGTACAGCCCTCCCGGTCCTTCGATGACTTTCGCAAGCTGATGACTCGAGTCGATCCACGGCGCTCTTAACGTTATAACTCATGTACAATATATACATGCTAGCTCCACGGGAGCTCCCGCTCCACCTATGGCTGTTATACACACCATTCCACTCTATAGAGTCTCCGAGGCGTGGGAGAGAGAAAAACCCTGGTCGCTGCAGTCGTACTGTAGAGTACTTACGTGGTTTTATGAAACCCAAGCTCGAACTTCAAATGCCTGTACGTTTTCATAATATTAGGCAATATTGCAAGGCCAAGCGCCACCAGCTAGCTGCCGGACAGCTCCAGAAAATATTACTGGATCCGGTGGTTGACTCTCCATCTCTGATAGCCTCATTATTAAGTCGCCGAAATCGACGTAATAGTGGCAGGAAATGTACTGACTAATCAACCACCTGCAGACGATCGTATCTTAATATTCCCCGCACCGCCACACCATACACTCAGTCCACAAGAAGGAATTTACTAGCCACATGTAGTGGTTGTATTCCATTTAGCGTCGCCACTCGTTCCCGAGCAGAGTTTTAGCTAGCTGGCTATGCCGGTGTTGTATGATTTCCCGATAGTCTCTGGTTGTTGCCGCGCCGGCTTGGGTGCCCCGGCACAAATACAAGCTCACCGCAAAAAGTGCACTTTGATTTGCTTCTTCTTCTTCCGTCCATACTATCATGCGCGTTGTTGAGTGCTTTTGGGCCGGGGCTGTCGAGATCTCGGTAGGGTTTGTATGTACGTACTTACATACGTATTTTATACGTGATTTCAAAATGCGGAAGCAGCCTTAAAATTTAGTAACAGAATTTCCTCGGGTATAAAGTGTGTAACACTATAAATTTCGGGGGTGGCCGTATGGTCCTCCCGGCACCTAACCCTCAATTACTAGTACCAGCTGAGACAATTTATGCAATCGGAAGTGTTGGCCTATCGCAAGTGAAACAAACACAGTAGAGTCGATTACCACATTAATCTAACTTTCTTACTCCGAGTTTTGTGTATTAGAATTTCCTGCAGATATGAAAATGAAATTACGAATCTATTTATACCAAGATCTATCTAATTAGTTGACAATGTCTCAAAAGTCTGAGCAGAATACGTACCGATGCACATACATTGGGCCTGTTGATCACGAGATTTTGATATGCCAATTGCTATTCGAAAAGATCCGTGTGTACTTCTGTGCATGGCGTCCCGGAAAATAAGACATGAATGGTTGCATTTTGATTTGTTCTTTGCTCCCGGGCTCGGTTATTCACTGAGTTATTAGCCTATGGGCTTGACGCTAGCTAATACTCAATCAGCAGATTAAAGAATCATGACTACATACTACATGTGAACTTGTACTCGGACTGACGATCAGAGCAGCCTCGCGGGATCTGTAGCTGTGGGTTCGAGACTATGAAGAACAAATTGACTGTACTAGCTAGCTCGACAGCCTCAAAAACACCTATAGGAAGAAAAAAAGAAAAAAAAATACGTGCAGCTGAGATCTAGAACCCGGTCTCATACTTTATGGTTATCCCGGATAGCCCTTTGCACTAATGCCGTTGACCATAAACTAGCATGTCTGTCAGTTACGCGATTTCCAGTGTCAACGAGTATCGGTACCTTCGATCTTTGGCATGGTATTGTTATATTAGTTCAGTTACCTAATATCCAGCCTCCTAGGGTACGAGTGAGAGGGCATGTCGGTAATATAAAATTGTCTTAATACCAACTAACCTGATATTTTTTTTGGCTGATGTCTCATTGATGGACATTTGTGCTAGAACTGAGTACATGGAGTCAATCGCAAATAAGATAAGATCATCCTATCGTTATCTTTCCAACTGTGCATGCGAGATGAAACATATGAATGAACTGTCGTTGGAATAAAACGACTGGCTATCCATGTTATCCCTGGAAACTTGAAGGCCTGACTGCAAGTGATGTTTCAGTAAAGTTCATGTAGAGGCCACCTATATCTAGTTGCAATTCTTTGGTAAACAACAAGACATTTACTACATGTATGGATTGAAACGAGCCAGATATGTGGTTTCGGGCTAGCTCGGCATGCTGCCTAGATTAGTCGGACCAATAGCCCACAGAGATAGCTCCATTAATATCAGTCCCATCCCATCTCAATCTCTACGTCAATTGATAAATTTCTTTGAAAGCACTCCCGGACATTAGGGGAGGAGGTTCTACGTCCTCAACACGAAACAGCAACTCAGCAGCAGATACGATTCTCATCCTAAGAATGATCACCGACTCTTCACACGTCGTGTAATGGGTTCGTGGAACCGGACCTCATAAAGATAGCGATCACTGAATCGGCCAGAGGCGGGCGGAGTGGAGATCGGAGAAGGTCGGTGTTTGAAATTTTGCGAGGTGGAGAGAGAGGGGGGGGACTGTTACTCCATTTTCAAATATACTGACTTCTAATTTCTCCAGTAAAAATGTACAATTTACAGTCAGTTACCTGATCAAAGCCACCTCCGATCGAAATTGTGGTATGCTAATCACAGATATCGCTCGGATCCGGTTTCGTGTGCTTGCCGAGATAGAACCAAGATTCGGGGTGATTTGATTTATTCATAGACATCTTCACATCTATAGGTCATGGAATAGGGCAAATTGAAAAGTGGTGTCATGACATGATTCATGTACCTATATCGGACACGGTTTCATTGGTATTTGAAAAGTGAGATATCCAGCGGTACCAATATACAAGAGATGGGCTATCTCTGTTTATTTCAAGCGCCGAATCTCATTCTTGCTCTCGTGGAGTAGGGAGTTAATCTTCTGTTTTCAACCTCGTCTGAGAATCGAGTGATAAGCTGTGCAGGAGGGCTTGCGGGCATGGTGCTTGCTGGTCCGAGTTCAACACCAAATATTACACGGAAATTATCTTGTTGAGTGGTTCGAGACAAAACAAATATGGCCTGTGGGATCATCTTTATGCATGGACCTAGTGATTTTGTGGCGGCTAACCGGTTTACGGCCCTTCTCAAGACCCAAACAGCTGGAAACAGGACTCTCAAGCCGGACAAGTTTCGTCTCGCTAAGGGAAGCACGTATTGTTCTTTCTGCCTTGTTGTATCACAAACATTACGACCACTAGTATGAATAAGGTAATTTAGTCCTGATTACTTTCTACTGTTGTGATGTATCATGACAATTGACAATAGTATATGTAAATGGACTGACAGAAAACCAATTGAGTTACGATAATAACAATCAGTTAGTCTGGGAAGTACTATTATCACATGTAAGGCAGTAACTAGGGAGAACTATCAAGTACAGCAACGATCAGCCGAGCATTCTCAAAATACTTGACAGCATATGATATGCTGTATGTTTCACTATCAACAATCGTGGAGTCGGATTCAATCTGATATTATTGTTCGCATATCTCACCCACGTACAGATCGACAGTCTTGTGTGTCAGCTGCCCCAGTCCTCATAGGCTTACCCCCGTGACTAGCTTGGACCTAGTTATTGGGTACTGGACGATAGAAATGGGACGAAGCTTTAGATGGTGATCTCAAGTTCTATTATACATACTTCGGAGAGCTAGCCTATCAGATACTTGGAGTGTCTAAATTGACCACCTCTTGGGTAGAATGAGGAAGGAGGATACAATTTTATACGGGTGGCTGCTAAGCTGCCTGACTGAGGATAGTATCACTGTTAGAGAAATGATCGGTGTGAATCAGCTTGGTAAGCAGAATCTATGAGCCAGATATTGCCGAGAGATATCGTAACTGCGAGTCTACAACAACACTTCTAGCACGTGTATGGATATAAACCGTGAAAACTTGAGAGGACTTGCAAACCTTAATGCATTATGCATCTTGTGGGATACAGTCTGTTGAAACCTCAATTGCAAGGCGTCTTTGCATATTACATTGCAATTGCCTTTGTGTTCGGATTCTTTCATTTCAGGCTGAGCTCTTGAAGATTCTTTGAATGCAGGCAGCTTCTAGGATTCCACGCGTATGTATAAGAAACCACCACAGGCCCAGCACTGAAAAGAAGCAAACGGATACCAACTAGGTAGTTGCATGCAGCAATTGACTAATAAATTACATGTAAGTCATGAGTAGTAGAGCTCGAGGTACATTGCCCGTATACGGACGGCAAAATCCCCCTTACAGCATGCGCCAAAGTGTCATTACGAAATTCACACACCCGTTTTCCTGCAGTCATGTCAGTCGTACAAAATAAAAGCACCTGTTTTTATGCTGAAATGCGTGACCAATCATTACCATCTCTTTTGTTGTTGGGGATTAGAACCCCATGATTTAGGAATTAGAAGCATGAAGGTGGGGGTGAGGCTGCAAATTACAAAGCCTCCGTGACCTAGAGTGAGCAAGTGGAGCTACTTGAGCTGGCAAAGTGCAATAATCCCCCCCCCACAAGGCACAGGGAAGAGTCTAGCCCCACGATCCCGTTCTAGACCCACCAGGTTCCTGAAAATTTAAGTTTTCCCTGCGGCTCCGGCCGCGTGGGGGGAGTGTGAGGATCTATTCTTGGCAGCAGGGACTAGCCGCGATTCATCCAACGTCACTCGTCAAACCTCAATTGAATTTTCAAAACCTCCAAAACAATGAAACTCCTACTCCGTCTCGGCAGCAGGGTCTCGGCCCGTTCCATGATCCCAAACCTTCCCCAATTGGCGAGGACGAGGGCACTCACAATATCGCACAGCACCTACTATGCACGGAAGGTTCCACACCGCGCTGCTACGTTGAACAAATTCCGGCAGCAGGAAAGCATAGCGAGTATCAGCCACACCGAGGAAATTGACTATGATGCGCTGCTCGAGGAGAAGCTCATGCAGAACGCAGAGGCGCTGGAGAATGTTACGGATGAGCAGCTGGCGGTACTTGACTACTCCCCGCCTGCACGCCCACCGCCATCACCGCCGCTGACATGAGAGGTAGTACTGGGACTCGGAAGGGTTTGGAAAGCTACTCTCGGAGTACCCAGCAATAGCGCTCAACATTCGGGTCCCTCCTGGAGCACCCGTGGCGGAGGTGGACGACGAGATGGCAGCGGACCTGGCGATAGAGCTGTATGTGGCCGGGTATCCGGCGGAGTTGATGCAGTCACCGGATGCGCAGGAGAGGTTTGCGGAAATGATGACGAAATTGATCGAGGAGTCGATTCCGGTTATCAAGGAGGGACTAAGAATTGGCTGGTTGGCTCCGGGTAGGTTTCTCTCTGTGTGTTTGATTTTTGGAAGTGGAAGTTTTGTTGACCTAGGTTTGTCGGATTAGTGGATAAGAAAGTGGCTGCTGTACTGGATAGTGCGTAGTTGCGCTTACTATGGATGGACTTGCGTGGTGGCAGTCCGACTTCTTGCAAGGGCTATTACTTCAAAATCTCGGGAATGCCTTTGAATAAAACACTCGGGTAGTTATTAGACACTAGTAATTCCGGAAACTATTCGAGCTACGGGAAAGTATAATGCATCAAATCTTGTTTAAATACCAGAAAGGTACGACACTCACATTGCAACTTGCAACGGGATAGTTGCTGCTTAAATATCATGAAGGCAATCACGTATTGAAACCGAATATAGTCGACTCTCGATATAAGGGCACGCTCTAGACCGGCAATCGGTACCATTATAGGGCGTGTACCCGTATAGTAAGGGTCAATTTGTACTCAAAAAGCCCAATAAATACCGAGAGGTCGTATCATTATAGGACGAGTATTCTTATAGAAGGTACCCTTATAGCGGGAGTCGGCTGTATCTGAAAACCATAAACTGAGCACTCTGGGCCTCAACTCTCCCCAAAAGGTTACTGCCTGTTGGGGTCCACATAGTGATGTTCTTCTAGATGATATAAGAGGAGAATAATGTGTATATTCCTCAGTGATTAATCGCTACTGCCTACTTATGATCGATTACCAGCAAGATCGAACGGAAATACCAAATTGCAAAACGGGGGCCCTATCGCCACAAAAAAAAAGAGATTTAAGTTCTCATACTGTAATAAAACCGCCTGTATCTTGAGAGGATCAATAATTCAACAAATCAATAAAAAAAACACCCCATGAGACACAGTAAATCCACCGAGTGATAATTCATGATGTATATACGAACCAGGCAAACAAGTATAGTTAAAAACACCATCCACATATAGCGATAAGTAGCACGACACCAGCCTGATTGAGCACTGTGGGGCGATGGACCACAACACACGACCAACCCTAACACAAACCGGACGCAGGTTTAATTGTATATGTATATACACCCGGCCGGCCGGCCGTATCACCGTCACCATCGATATCTTGATCTTAGAAATCAAACCTCCCCTCTACTGTGCTCGAGTGCCGCCGGGTGCGGGCCTCTCCCCACACTGGCGGGATAGCGCGAATTGCGGGGTTAGGATTTATAAGAAGGACGATATTAACAGAATCGACGAGTATAGCACCACACTTTGCCTATCCTATGTAGGAGCGCAAACACCAAAACACAAGATCCAGCCGTCCAGCCGTCCAGCCGTCGCGTCACTAGCTCTACACACAAGCTTAATTAAGCACCGTCCTACCACTGTAGTACGAACGAGAAACCCCGCGCGCTGCCGCAACCCTTGAATCTAATTACTCTACTATGGCCGGCGCGGCCCAGAGAGAGAAGAAGATGTGCCGCGGGATTTTGTGGCACCACGTGCAGCAAAGAAGAGATTTTGTCTTTGTTTGGTACTCTCCCCCGGCACGGTGGGGGGGGGGGGGAGTGCAATATGTGAGCTCTCGGAGCCATATATAGCGTAGAGCACTTCGTAGAGTATGGCATCGCCGGTGACCTCTTCTGCTACATAAATCGGGGGGTAGTTGTCTATAACCCTAACCCTGGAATGTTGTGTACCTATATGACTGTGTTCGGGGTTTGGGGCTTGGAGTGGTGTTTTGCTTTGGAATGTTAGGTGCACGAGTGTGGGTTAGTACTGGATGGTGTTGGCTCGAGAGTGTTCTGGCTGGTGATAAGCCATTGCAATACGTATTGCGGGATTTTGGCAGGAGATGGCAATGGGTTCCCCCGAGTATGTGCAGAAACCGATCCGCAGATGCACCTCGAGAACGGCCGGCGACTATTTCTTTCTCGGCCGGTCCGGAAGCTGGATCGGTGATTGATAGTAACTATCGATTATGCGTATTAAGCCGGTGCTTCTAATGCTACATATAATCTAGATCTATAGACGAAATAAAAGGGAAAATGCAAGTAAAATGCTAGGAAGAAAAGAAAGAGAACTATTCCACAAACATGTATCATTCACCCCATATATATATATATATATATCCGATCTGCGGAAACCATAAAAAAAGTCCCTCAAAAATCAAAAGACGCCGATACTCATGCGAATCATGCCCATCACAATCCCTTGATGGGATGCATAAACACACCCTTCAAACACATCCTCCCACGCTCCCGGTCCCACGCCTCTCCGCCATCGTTGTGCGCCACCCCGCCCAACCACCGCGTCCACAGCACCGCCGGAAAGCCCGAGACGTAGAACCACGTACTGCCGAGAAAGTTGTACTGGTTCGCCTCGCCGAACACGGTCTGGCCGCCGTAGACACCCATGTTGAATGTCTTCTCGAGGTGCTGGGTGGGCCACTGGCGGTCGATGTAGGTGGGGTGCGGGACGAAAACGGCCTTGAGTCCGTGCTGGAAGGCGCATGAGGCGGGCCACATCTCGGAGAACATGGTGTGGCCCTGCACGGCGTTCTCCCAGTGCATTCGGTTGAGGAGCCGCCGGGAGAGACGGGAAATGGCGACGATTGCGGTGCGACGGGGTGGGCCGGTGGGGGTGCCCGGTGGTGGCGGGGATGGCTCTTTGAGGCGGTCTTTGCGCGGGTCTTGGTTATAGCGGTAGGAGGCTTCCGTATAGGTTCCGTAGCCGGTTGTGTCGGGACTGAGACCCCAGTCGGTGCCCTCAGGATCGAATATAGGGTTCATTGTGAGGAGATCGGCGTCTTCGCCGACGCCCCATTCTGCGTTTACGTCCTCTTCAGCCGTTGCGAAGGGTGGGATGGGGTCTTCGGGGTGAATGGTGACTGTCTCGACTTGCGGTGGGCCCCAGATGCTAGAGTTCCTGGGTATGGTCTTGGAAATTGTTTCCGAGAAGTTGGCATAGCTGCCGTGAACTTCGGGAATATAAAAGCGTTCGTTACGTTCCCAAAGATGCTTACGCGGCTGCTGCTTCGCCCAGGACGATATCTGCTCCAAGAACTGGTACCAATGGCCCGTATAGCGCGCGTCGACTTCCAAGTTCCAGAGAAACTCGTATTCCTGGTGACGGTGCGCGAACCACTGGACTGGCATGAAGGTGCTGCGGTAAACACCGTGTAGTGGGAGGTCTCGGTACTTCCACGGGTCCATTCTGGCATAAATGGATGCCATCATGGCCTCGTTCCATAGCTCTGCGATTCCCCAAAACTCTTCCGGGACATTTTCTTGGAGAACCTGTCGGTAAACTTCGTTGTCGGACCAGATGGGTACCTTGTTGTCTTTGGAGTGAACGAGTAGGTGGATGCTATATTCTCCACCGGTGTTGATGGATAGCTCAGAGATGAGGGATCGAAGGAATGCAATGTCGCCGGTGCTGTATTGGTAGCCGGTCCAGGTCCGGACAAGAACTGCAGTCCGCGGAACATATTTCTTTTTCTTGTGAAAGCTACCGCCGGGCATGCCTCGTGCTCTCCGAGTACTATTTTTCCGGCCCTCCATAACTTTGACGGCCATAAAATCTTCGCTTGGGTACAAAGTATCCTTCGTCTCCACATTTTCGAACCGGCCTTTATTTTTTTCGTAACAGTTCTTTTGAAGCGTGCCCCAGTCAACACCCCTCCAATCGATTCTCTTGAATGGCATTTTACCGGGTCCCCAACCAGTCTCTATATCGGTCTCATTATCACCACCGTCGTACACGGCCTCTCCCAAACCGCCCTCGACGTCTTCGTATCCATATCCATATGTGCCATATCTCCCATACCGGTCGTAACACACGTCATCATTAATACCTAATAATCCATGCGACCCGAAAATCGGCGCAGGCATACCCTCTGGCGCACCATCGAAAACTCTAATCTCTGGTCGACCTCTCGTCTCTCCCGAGCTCTCGGCTTCATCGAAGGAGCACTCTTTGTACTCCCCTTCCCAGGTTCGCCGGTACTCGTCATGGTCGTACTTAGGATACGGATCAAACGCTCTACTTCCGGCGGTCTTTCCGCCGCCGGTTACTGCACCTGGCCGCGATGATCCTAAGACCAATTCTCGCTCATGCGCAAGGCGCGGTGGGTACTCGGGAACATTCATATCACTGTTTACAAGGCTGAACAGGCCCTTATAGTAGTTTTTGAGGAACGGAAATGTTTCCGGCCTTGGAGGCAGCGGCGTAAGATTGGGAGTGAAGGATTCTTCTGCGTTATCTGACGGAATCGTGGGCGGTCTCGAGGGCGAGGCTCCACCGACTGAGAATATAATAACGAGAAACATAAAGACCGTCATGGAAATGAGGATGCGTGTGAATGTGCGCCGACCGGCGAATGGGGGGCGGCGCGGCGTGGAAGGCCATGATAATTTGCTGGATTCGAGATCGGATATGGGGTTCAGAGGCACTTCTGTGGGAGGGGGAGGAGGAACGAAGCCGGGCGGTCGTGCGCGACGAGGCGGAGGAGGATGGAGTGTGTCCTGGAGGTTCTTCCACCAACCCATCGTGTGAAGTTGGAGATTTTGCGGTGCCTTTCGATCTGTGTCTGTTAGTGATTATAATGCGGTTTCCCGAAGCTCTAAATACTTACATACGGAAGACTGCTAGTTTTCGAGTTCGTTTTAGCGTATAGCAGACGAAACCAGTAAATTTACATCAACTTAAGTTTGAGTTGTCGATAGCATTGACGGTTTTGAACCTTTAACGCTGACTTTTCTGTTGTCTTAAAGCCTTTCTCTAGCTGTCTTGATATGCTAACTCAGGGGTTCCCCACTAATCAAACACTAACGTGTCTAGCGTCTTGCCTTATTGTTGTTTCGCGCGTGGACGAAGGATATCTAAATTAGAGGGAACCAAGTAAACTGACTATCATAGATTCGTCGTCTGGATTGCCTTTTGTGGAGTAGAAAAGGTCAAAGAGGCCCTTTAAGGAAATGCAGGCGCTGCCGATCCAATCAAGCTCTGCATATCCATTCCTCTTTTTCGGTGTTCGGGTTTTAGACCATCCTTGTTGCCGCAAAAGAAGGAATTGAAAGTTCGATGATCGCCACTGAGGAATGTTTTAGGGTTTTATTTTTTCCCCGTGAATAGTTTCTGTGTTGAGGTAAACAATTTGGAGTTCGACGATCACATGTGCTCATCGACTTGACATCTGTTGCTACAGCAACAGCATGAGCGTATCTATATGCGGTGACATATGCATGCCCCCAACAACCACTTCCGCTTCTCGGCGAGATGCACCCTATCCTATCCAGGATCCAGGAGGCCATTGGTGGGCGGTCTGAAAGCAAGAATCGGTACAGAATGCTTTGCTACCTAAAGTAAGTAGAGTGCTAATAGTTCAAGAGATATCGTTTTATAAATCCGCTAGTGGTTGGCCCGGAGTTACCACTTTTAAGAGTGATTCATGACTTATATGTAGATATTAGTACGTTTTTAACCTAGTACAGTGCGAGAGCAGGAAACGGGTCATTAGAGCGTATTTACTAACCGTCAATTCTGAAAATTGACACTTCGTCACTCTCCAAAGCAGCATCCACAAATGTCATTTTTGGGTGGGGTTGCTTGCCAGGCGGTGAGATACATTAAAAGTATACCAAATACACTTAGGGGATACCATAGTAGTTATCATACTGTTCTTGCGGCTTGCATATTTCATATCCCCATGAAGGGAAAGTATCAATTTTATCTCTCGCAACCGTCAATTTCGAAGTGTCAATCGTCAAAAATGACACTTAGTAAATACGCTCTATTGACATACAAATTTGGTTGTGATTAGGCCAAATACGTCACGTTAATGACTGGTAACAATGGTCTATGGATCCATAACCTTTAGGAGATATAGTATCTATGTTATCTGCAGTAGAGTAGATTCACGATGTACCACTGATCCAAAGACTATTCTCCTGAGCTTCTAGAAGTAATGCCTACAACTGGTGATAGATTAGTCTTAATGACGACATAGAGGGAACAGTGTATACAGCGACACCTCGATATAAGAAACGCCAAGGTGGCGGCGGATTTTGTTTCTTATAGCAAAATTTCCGCCAATATTTCTTATAGCAAGTAAGATTTTGGTGTAGTGCTGTTAGCGTGTACCTTATACGCTGTTTCTTATAACAAGGTTTTCTTATATCGAGGTTTCTTGTAGCGAGGTGTAGCTGTAAATGCGCTTAATTTGAGCTAGGAAGTTTTCAACTGCAATGAAGATTGTAACATATACTTACTACGTACGTATCTCTACCTACAGTTGGCACTTGAGTCCATACAACCGTGGTTTATGCCTTGCCTTTAGGCGATTCGGACAAAATGCCTGCTTGATTCAAAGCCACATTTTGGACTGTGATCGAATATGTAGAGATGCATAAATGCGGTTTCTTATGCCCTTCTCGTTTATATGTCGAATGGGTAGCCAGCTTGTAATTGGGTAACCTGCCCCTGTATAGTGCGCATGATATATATCACAATCATACCCAGGCTTCTTTGCAATTTTCTCTCGTCTCAATTCACCTTAATGTTTCAATCACGCGAGCAGTTGTGTCGCTAAACACTTTTAAGTGGTTGAGGAGGAACAAACAAAGTGTAACATCAGGAACCATGGTGTTGCTGATAAAATGCGCAGTAGGAATCGAGCTGAGCGACGTAATATATCAAGTTTACTATCCATTGACATGTGTAAGGTGATGATATGGATAGTTCTTATAGGCGCGGCTGTAGAGCCCCACCTTTTTTTGTAATTCGCTTCCTTCCCTCCCGAGGCCTTCAGAGTGAAAAACCCTACTCTAATAAACCCCGCCAGCGGCAATTCCCACGGACCATGGCTACAAAACAAGCAATCAACCATGGGACCGCATTGAGTAGTAGCCAGAGTTGGCCGCTGGTACCATGGTGGTGCTCTAGAGTACCCACTAGTACATACATGTAGGTAATATACAGGACGGATTAGAATTTTGAACCTCTTGTCAAGTAACTCAGGGGTACAGCAGAACATCATCCCATCCAAATGCAATGGCCACGCAAACCCACCCAAGGGATGCCCGAATGAACCGGACACATAGGTGACATGGTATCAATGACCACCCACCCCCCCCCAATACATACATGAATCCCTCCCCACCACCATGAAGGAAATTATCCATTAATATGTCCAGATGATATGATCGGATCGGACAGGGGCGTCCGGGGGACGACTCAAGAATCAAAAACTTGGAGTGTGTTAGATCGGGGCACGAGACCCTGAGCCTTTTCTACTCTATATCATCTTACCATTCTCTCCTTCTCCCTTTCTCTTACATCTACACCACGCCTACCCATCTACAGTATCATCGTCACTTTCATCCTGAAATTTGGGTTCAGTTAAGCAATAGTGAAATTCGCTTTTCTAAAACTTGCACTCAATCCTGTTTCTGTTACCCGTCCACCTGTAGCCCATTTCAGTGAGCTTGCTTCTGTGAACGTTCCCGTTGTCTTTCACTTGCTATCTCCTCTTGTCGTCAACTACGCTTGGTGTCTCAACCAAATCCATAACAAATTATCCAGTCGAAATGTCTTCATCCAAACCAACTCTACAAGCTCTGGCGAAAATGGAGGAGCTTCCAGTACTTCCGCTATCCTATAGCCCAGCAAATTCAGATGATTCAGCAAAACAACTGGTGTATACTTTACTGCCCCAGTGGGACCCCGCCAACGGAGGAAGGGGCATCACTCTCGTGAGATTCACAGATGGAATCACTAACACTGTATGTTGAAGCCTATTCTGTGTTTTTGTTGGGTATTGTAATTTGCTTTTTTGAGGCGAACTCAACGGGTTTCCCTGCATCTCCTGCGTTAGTGCGATTTGCATGTGAAAGTTCATGATCCCTACAACAGCAGATCGATCTGAATAATTGAGCAATCAGAACTCTTGATATCCAATTGTCATTTATTTTGGCTCTGAATTTCCGACTTATACTAACTGAAATACCCTGGTGAATAGCTTCTCAAATGTGTCCACAATCCTCCAGAGGGTGTGTCCCCAGCCGAAGCGAAGGAGCTTGCAGACGAGGAGTCGGTCCTCTTGCGCGCATATGGGAGAGACACCAGCATCCTGATTGATCGTGAACGTAAGCTTCCGTATATATCTAGCTTTAGCTATCTCAAGAAGACGGTTTTCATTTCGCAAGGATATCAATTAACAGAGAACAGGCGAATGCGCATCCCACCTTCTCCTCTCCCGACACAATCTGGCGCCAGCACTCCTTGCACGCTTCGAAAATGGTCTACTCTACAAATTCGTTGCCGGCAGAGTTTGCACGGTCCCGGAGATGTCCCAGCCCAGCATTTGGAAGGCTGTCGCCGCACGACTGGGTGAATGGCACGGCACTCTTCCGACTAGCACCACCCCGCCGTCATCTCCGGCCTCGTCGAGCTCAGCTTCTTCATCTGAGCCAGACGTGACTCTCTGGAATGTGTTGCAGAAATGGATTAGCGCATTGCCAGAGGCGAGCAAGTCCCAGAAGGAGAGGAAGGAGCTGCTCCAAAACGAGCTGGATTTACTGCAATTGGGAGAGGATGAAGGCGGATTCAACATCAAGGGACAGGATGGTGGAATGGGAGCCGTGGTTGGACATTGCGATTTGCTAAACGGAAATGTCATCATATTGCCCGAGGATGATGGCGTTACATCTGCGAGCGGGAATACGAAGGTTCATTTTATCGATTACGAGTAGGTTCTCACTTTTAATGATCCATTAAGGGCTATGAGTTGTTAACAAGTAATAGATACTCCACTCCCTGTGAGCGTGCTTTCGACATCGCCAACCACTTCGCTGAATGGGGCGGTTTTGATTGCGATTACAATCTCATTCCAACTCGCTCTACTCGTCGCGAGTTCATCCAGCATTATCTTCAGAGCTTTCATCAGCACCGTAACTGCTTTCACAGCGCGACTCTGGAAGCTGAAATTGAGAGCCTCATGGCCGAGGTAGATCTGTTCAGAGGTGTTCCAGGATTTTACTGGGGTATCTGGGCACTCATCCAGGCTGAGATCAGTCAAATTCACTTCGACTATAAAGGATATGCTGAGATCAGGTTGGGCGAGTACTGGGATTGGAAAGCTGAGAAAGAGGGTACCAGGGTTGGGGAGATTGGTATCAGAGAAAAGAGATGGGCAATGGAGTAGGTATAACACCCCACTCCTCTCCTTCATTCAAAGAAGAAAGAGGATCTGGGTACTTTGGGAGCCGCAGGCAGCAAAGTTGATCTTCCATTACGTCTTTTTGAAGTAAAACGAACCATTTCTTAACGTCTTTTCTTTCCTTTCTTTTTTTGGTCATGGTTTAAAATGGTGTTTCAACAACGGGGGTTTCTTTCTTCGACTTTTTAAAAACGGGACGGGTGAATGCCTTTCTGGTAATCGTTCTTCTTTTTTCTCATCTTTTGGCTTTAAGTTTTCTTTTTGGCATTTTCTTTACGATATTTCCTATATCTTTCTGTTCTCTGTTCTCTGTTGGTGGAAGGCGTAAGGTCTGTTTTTTCAACAATAACGACGGCCACGTTTATGGGGCTTTTTTTTTTTTTTTTTGTTTAATTCATTAATTGCATCACGTTTGTGGGCAGTTTTGTAGAGCATTTAGTAACTCCTGGCGGTATTCAATTCAATGATTAAGATATCGATATTTCTGTTCAAGAAGACGAATATTATCTTTTGATATATGTAGAGTGCTATGATTTTATTCGGCTGAATATACATATAATCGATTGATAATAATAGTCATAAGGTCTCACTCGTCCTTTAAGCACTCCGCTTAGTGTTTCGGCAAAGCCAGGCCAAATTCCCGAAAATGCGACCATTGGCTCTCTTGAATACAGTAAGTGCAATGCTTTGGTTATTTTGTATTGAAAAAGACAACAGCAAAATTAAATATTGTCAAACTCGTCACATGACGTCCTTATGATTGTCTCGTTTCTATTCCATGCTTATTATGAATGGGTGGTCACCGGATTTTTCTTTCAAGCTTTTCCAAGGAGTGGGCACGAGACCTCATGTAACAACCATTTCGAAAGAGAGGGAGAAAGTGCCCTTGAGCAATCTATGATGTGATATGCTCATAACTTCGTGTCACTTAAGAAAACTATGTCATGAAATGAAATCTATCAGGGCCGGCCCTGGAATTGATAGGGCTTTGATGTCTCGATTAACCTACCTATTAGATCATGCCAATATATAGGCTCTGTTATGCCGTTTTAAAGCCGAGACAGTACATACTGCAGTCCAACCACCTATCAAAGCTGCAACTGATGGCCCATGAGCAGATAATTCCTTGACTGCGCTCTTTCTCAAAAAACGGGCTATTGGCGCTTTCGGGGGTGGAATAACATTTCCCCGTAACTCCTCGGATGCAGGGACTTGTCGTGAAGGTATATGTATGTAAGTACGGATTGGCGGAAACCCCGCGAATTGTAACCTAGCCCGGGTTTTTACACTCTAACCTTTGGATGTTTTGTGCGCGTCCCAGTGGAAACAATTGTCTCGGCGTGGTTGGGTCCTGACTGGAATACATAACTTCTATTTTATTATACCCTGTGGTACGTACCCCCCCCCCCCCGGTCTGAGCTAGGGACGTGTCTTGTCTGACATTGCAAGCTTAAGACCCAGGTCGATCGCATAAATACAACGGCATTCCATATTCCAGGTTCGAAATTGATTAAGAACTTATTGCACTCTACATACAATATGGTGAACTTCGACATGATAGAAAGCCCACTTGAAGATCTTGGCCATGCACGGGCCAATGTTAGCTCTGGTTCGGGTATGCACTTACTTGTAAGGAAAACACGGTCCTTCTAGATCAGCTAACACATCGCGGCGCTCGCATATCAACAGCTGGTGTGCTATCTGACTACGACCCCGAAAGACTCTTCCAACACTGCTGGCGACGAAACTCTTGTGGGGAGTGTCTAAAAACTCACATGCCGTGTGGATGGTGCCCGACTGTAACCAACTGCCTCCTCCCTTGTGGTTATAGTATACTTGCTATACGGTTCAAAGCCTGACAAAAGGGTCCAGAGTCAAGCCTGTGTTCCGGTATTTTCGGGATTGTTCACCCCACTCGGAGACCCGAAAGTCTGCCCAATGTCTTCCGAGCGTTTCGAGCTGCGCACGAAACCTTTGGGCTGTAATGTCAGTACCGTAACGGCGCTAACTGCAGTCGTAAGCGTATTTTCAACACTTTTGCTGGTGGGGATTATCTTCGTAGTCGTGAGATACCACGCCTCGCTGGGCTCATTATGGCGGCGTATTTGGCGCCGGAATAGTGGGGAGGAGGAGGAGGAGGATGGTGAGCCGAATGAAAATACAGGCCTTTTACATTCAACTAGGAGGGCTGCGGCGGGGATAGGGAGGAATTGGAGTTTTTGGGTTCATAATACGACGCCGGCCACTAAGGACAGAGGAGAGGGGCCAGGTCCGGGGACGCTGGAAAGGAGTGATACTACGGGCGATGAAGGTGAAGCAGTGGGAGGAAGGGAGTTTGAACAGAGAAGAGAGCGGATCCTGCACAGAAATGCAGAAGTTTAGGCGATGGGCTTGTTCCATTGGCATGGACAGAGGGAAGTACATGTAGTACACATGTTGGAAGCTATTTTCTTGTAAGGCCGGTTTCTTGTTATTATTATTATTATTATTATTAACAATTAACAATGATACCCTCGACAATTGATAATCGATGTCGTGGGACTGTTTCCCAATTTTCCCGGCTACCTATAGCTGTGCGCCGAATAGCTATGGTTATGTGGTTGTCATATATGTTTCCCGAAGTGTGATGAAGAGATCATTGAGTATATCTGTCAAGTGGGTGTTTAGTCTCCAGGACAGATCTCCAATCCCTCGTTATGAGTCTACTCGTATTGTAAATACAAATACTCATGACTCTTTGAAGTCAAACGGATATGTGGCCGAAACATATTGGCGACGACCCCAAGCTACATGTAGATTGTTTATCGAGTCATATATTGGGCCAAGACCAGGATGTGGACCCCTTCAGCTCATGCTAAGCTCTCGGGAGCTCATTGCCATATTTCGCCGAGTGTGGCTAGAAATGAGATATAGGGTCTACAGCTCTCGAAAGCGTGGCTTAAGCTCTGAGAGTAGGTAAATGAAGATATGAGGCAGCTGGATGATTGTTTACAGATACATGTAGTCCTGAGCCGAGGTAGAGACTTGATCTATGCATACATGTAGGCACTGCCAGTTGAACTCAGGTACCGCGGAAATCCAGGGTTATCAACGGGCATGCCATAAAGCAAGCTAGAAATGAAATGTCACGGTGAATGTCTCAAACAACTGAAAGAGACACTTAACAACCAGTTCATCCGAGTTACTAAACAGCTTAGAGTTGTACGCATATTGGAGTCAATGAAGTAGAGTACCTACAAGGGGATAAACGCAGTCCGCCATTGGGTCAAGGCCACAAGCTTTGACGTGGCTAATGCCATGCTGTCATCTTCGATAAGAGTGAATGGCAGCTAATTGCCCTAGATCGGGTATTTGTGGCGCAGCAGGCAACTAGCACTGGTGATACATCGATACTTGGCCCTTCCCTCATTGAATCGATGAGCAATAGCCATTCAACGTAGTGAAGTGTCCTTTTCGTATCTAAGCCATAAAACGCAGGTCCCCGGGGGTCTACTTCAATCATCTTCTCCTGCATCATTATCTCACCGACTTCACATTAAAAAAATTCAATAAATTCCTCTTGCGTTGTAAAAACAGAAGCCAATCGAAAATAACCTGGTATCCTTATCCTGATCAAGCCAACCTACGCGGCAAAAGCAAGCTAATTAGCCTCCCCCAGTCCCAAAAACCCGTCGACGCCCCTTTCCTTTGCGCTTTTCCAACCAACCTCTCATCAACTTTGCAAAGGCCATCACCGCTTCTTCTACCCACCCATCACGACACCTGGAGCAACGTTCAACGTCTGTTTCTCAACACACGATATCTGTCGTATTCATCATCACCTGTAAGTTCCGCCATATCCCCCATTGCTATAGAAAAACACCATGCGCTGCTAGTGTGGTAATCTCTTTAAACTGCTGTTTCTACCCCTCCTGTACAATTTCGTTGCTGTCGCACCCCTTATCCTTCCGGGTTTAACACGACATGTCACCTCACTTTTTTGGGTCGGCTGCTTGAAATCTTGCTTTCGCTTTTCCTCAGCTTGAAGGCCTCGAGAGTATTTCTTTGCTGTCTTGATCCTCCCCGCACGCACTATTCCGGATTGTTCTGCTCTTTGTAGCCACGTGCCAACAGCACCAAGCATTTAACGCTAACACCTTCCACCTCACCCTACAGAAGCTTTTCCTCTTATCTTCGTCACGAAATAACGGACCTTTTTTTAAAGAAGATTAATCAAAACCAAATCTACAATGGGTCTCTCAATATCAAAGCTTCTTTCTGGCCTCTTCGGCAAGAAGGAAATGCGTATTTTGATGGTTGGATTGGTAGGTTCCATTTCCTAGTCTTCCTTCGTCCGTTCGCCTTATCGTAGCTGTACGCTGTCAGCCCTTTGCCGGTGCTCCCGCGTAATAGGACACTGGATGCACAAAGCTTTTGGCAGCAATATGCACGTTTGAAGGGATGCCGCGGATGTGGTTACAGGGATGTCCGAGGCTGATTCTTAATTTTTGGAAAATTTCTAGGATGCTGCTGGTAAAACTACCATCCTTTATAAGTTGAAGTTGGGAGAGATTGTCACCACCATCCCGACCATTGGTAAGATATTCTCCTCCCCCAAGTGTCCGATTTCGGTCTGGCCCCATCGTGGCGCAAGCTCGGTGATAGGCTCTCAGGAAATGTATGCTAAATCTCGCGCCCGCCACAGGTTTCAACGTCGAGACTGTCGAATATAAGAACATTTCATTCACCGTGTGGGATGTCGGTGGTCAGGACAAGATCCGTCCTCTCTGGCGCCATTACTTCCAGAATACCCAGGGTATTATTTTCGTTGTCGATTCCAACGACAGAGAGCGTGTCACCGAGGCCCGTGAGGAGCTGCAGAGAATGCTGAACGAGGATGAGCTCCGGGAGGCTTTGCTCTTGGTCTTTGCCAACAAACAGGATTTGCCTGTGAGTTTTTTGTTTCTCGCCCTGGCTATGAAAAGTTCTTAATTGACCCGTTGTGAACAGAATGCGATGAACGCTGCCGAGATTACCGACAAGCTTGGTCTGCACAGTCTGAGGCAGAGGGAATGGGTATGTTCCCTATTTAATATTTCCTTATCGAGTTTTATTTGAGCTAATGGAACCACTTTCAGTACATCCAATCCACCTGTGCCACTTCCGGAGACGGTCTCTACGAAGGATTGGAGTGGCTCAGCACCAAGTTGAGGGGACCTCGCTAGACTGCCACCATTCCCTATTCCGCCATTCCCCTACCCCCCCTTTTCCGTCTGCCAGCCAGCCTTAGTGTTCTTGTCAAATCTTTTTTAACAATCAAATAAACAAAAAAAGATGGTAATCTTGTGTGAGACATATTTTTTCCCTTTTTCCTGAAGGCCAATTCTGGATCCAATGGGATGTGATTTTATGATTTTGAGATACTTTCATATCATTTTCTTCAGGTCCAGTCAATGTTGATTTTTGCCTTCTTCTGTGTTTGTTTTATTGGGCTCGGTTTAGGTTGAAGGTTTTTTGTTTTCCCGCAATATGTTCGTGCTTGGTACGGGGTAGTTATGTGTAGAGGATGATGATGATATGAATAAACAACGAAGATTATTGCTCTACAGTCCTTATAAAGTTTTATGGGATCCAACCTTATTAAGTTACGACATGGTAACGGTTTGGGACTCTCAATATCTATCTCACGCTCTAATGAAGTAGATTAATTTCTAGCTCCTAATCGATCTTCGATTACTAGGTAAAAGCTTGCGCAATTCACCTGCAGTCTGTCCCTGCGCGATATTGGTGCTGCTGCTAATGTCGAACCGATTCTGGCTTAGAGAAGTCGTTTACTCTATTTGGTTTGTCTACTCGCTGCTGGGTATCACTTGGTATTTGCTGGATTAGAAATAATAGATATTCACTCCCAGTATTAATAGCTCTGAGGATATACCATAAGCGCTATAATGATTTAGGCTTTCCTTCCACCCCACCTAATGACGCTATCGGTTTATCGATTATCGACATAGAACACACGCAAGAAGCTTATCCCTGCATATTAATTCGCAAATTGGTACCTGAGAGCTGAGACATATGCTCCGAGGCTCGGATTTTGTGGTGAGACTGTACGTAGTTATATATACATAGGGCTATGGTGCTACCTGGAGGGTCTGAGGGTCTGAAAGAAAGTAGCGGCGGTCGAGTAACAAGTAGAGGAGAGAAGCTTGAAGGGGGGCAGTAGTCTTGTACTACTAGTAAAGGAGGGGAATATGAGTGGAAGTATGAATGTTGGTGGTAAGCTTAAGGTCAACAAAAGTGAAATCAAGGGGCTGCAATACATGTAGTTGAGTTATTGACGTTATCGAGCTCCCGTGTGCTAGCCATACCGCAAGGCGTTGGAGTTGATACAAATATGCCAAGCCATATATGAATGTGGATTATCATCAGGGTTAGGTTTTATCTTCTAGGGGCATAGCTTGTGTATCATCAAATATGCAGATCGCGGATCCTAGAGGTTTTCACCAGTGCCAGGGGTAAAAATAAATCAATCGCGATGTGAATTAGAGTTATCGTAGCGCTCTTGTGCCTACATATAACATGTAGCTTTTAAAGTGATTATCTTGTCTCGATTGAAGCAAAATCAGTATATATTAAATGCTTCTTTGGCATTTCTACTACCCAGCCTCAGCTTCCCCGCAAGGCAGTCAGGATTGCAGACATCCGCTCTCTCAATGAACCAGATTTGTCGTGCAGCACGGGCTAGCCGTTCTGTAACGTTAAGTTGTCAAGTGTTTCTGAAACACCCAGGCAGCTACATAGAAATACACAGCCGGGGGGGGAAATTTACTTCTAAAAGCGCAGCCGCGTGTTAAAACTGACCAATTATTTTTCTTAATTCTATCTCTGAGGTGAAGGCAGCAGAAGAGGATGTCACAGGCCATGCCTACCTATGTTTCACACGTAAGCGACAAATGCTTTTCCTCAGCTCCCATGTATGGTACCTACAGTACATAAGAACCTACAATAGTCTCACCTCTAGAAGAATTCAATATCCATGCTCCTAGCTGCTCTTGAAAACCTTCGAAAACCGCTATGATGGCTGGTACCGCCGCTCACAGCGCTGGAATACAGCTCTCGAACCTTGCTCCCAGCCCAAGGCCCGCGAATAGGCCTAGCAACTCACAACCAACGCACCAATACTACGACTCTTTCCCGACGTTATGCAGCAAGTTCCGAGATCTCGACACTGATGGGGTCTACGAAGAGTGTAAGGCGGCTGTCATGAATGAGGCGACCCGCAACTTCATTATCGATTTTGGAGGTGCAGCAGAAGAGGGGGGTGCCGCGTGGTGTACACTTGATCTTGATGATTCGCCGGCTACGGTGGAGGCAGTTAAGGGCTTGTTAGGAAAAGAGGTATTTGGACTACTCTAAAGTAACAGCTGTATTGATGTTGAAAAAGTGTTGACATTGCTGCGAATGTTTGTAGAGACCACGAGAGCTACGAACTCGATGGATGTTAGTACTGGCTATCCTACAACCTATACTCAAACCGTAATAATTGGGGACGAGCTAATCATATCTGTAGAAACATCTTCTCCCCACACACACAGCAGCCACTTGTTAGGGCTATCGCGCAACACTATGGACTTTCGTCGCGGCATACTAGCGCCTTGATGGCATCTCCACAACGTGTTGAGACTGTTCAGAAGAAGCCGGTTCAGCACCAACAGCAAATGCTGGAGAGGCTCCGAAATAGTTTGCATAGAGGTCGAGATGTCGAGAATGCAGCTCAAGATACCAATGAAGCTACCCGTTTGGCTGGAGGAAATGTGCCTCCAGGGCGAGCGGGGCAGGGATATATGGATCTTGTCAGTAGTGTGTGGCACTGGCATGCTGTGGAGTGGGGCGGTAGATGTAAATTATATTGCGCTGTTCATTCCTTTAGGAGTTTGTGCTGATTTTCACTTTAGTTATGTGTATCGGCTTCAACCTTCTTCATCAGATCCCTGAGGAAGATGAAGTTTCCAGTGCCGAGAACGGGGAGGACACAGACTACGAAGATGAGTGGGAGTGGTCCGGCGACAAAGACGGGAAAGCTTCCATGGACAAGGGCGAGAACTACCCACAAGGAAAACGGCTCTGGAGCTGGCTAGTTCTCTGTGATGATGGTTCGTTACTTTCATACCCACAGAACACTTTTGGTGATAATAATAGTTTGGTTAACACGTGACTATCTTTAGGTACCGTTATAGCACTACACGAGCCAACTGGAAAGGTCTCAGTAGACCAGATGAAGTTGATACGGAAAAACATGTTTACTGTGTTCCGATCATTATCTCAATCACCCAAGGCTCAGGATGAAGCGAAGAACTCTTACGACCTGAATTCAGGATTGGAGGAGATGCCGTTCAGACGTATCCATACCAAAGGTGATAAGAGGGAGGATGTATGTCGTAAGGTCCTTTGTACCCTATACCCGTCCGCTAACAAGGTTGATAAATAGGTTGATAGCGCACCGAGTTTACTATTCTACTACCTTTTCGACGACTGGTACTCCTCTCTTGGTCTTGTAGTTGGCCGAGGTTACCCTTACAGCATCCACATGAGCAATCTCCGGCAAGAGATGCAACGCAATCCCAAGCTTTCCCATATCTCTCGTCTCCATCGTCTTGCCCGCCAACTTGCAACGCTGAAACGGATGTATGAAACCAAGAAGATAATAATTGACAATGTTCTCTACCGACAAGAAAATTCTCTGTCCAACCGCTCAAGCAGTCAACTACAACCTCCTCCCACTCCTCCCGACCCTCATGACCCGGCCCCGACTCTTGGCGACCCCAATATCCTCGGCGTGCCCCTCTCTCCGACTGCCATCGCAAAGTTTGAGCGTCTTCGGGACCGCGTGAAGCTTTATGCTCTCGGTGAAATCGAGGACTGTCTTGCCGAGAAGACGGAGTTGATATCCATGACGTTCAATCTGCTAGCAATGCGGGAATCACAGGCCGTAGAGCGCCTCTCCCGTGTAGCCATCTTCTTGACAAAGTTCACATTTCTGTTCCTGCCGCTCACACTGATCACGGGATATTTTTCGATGCAGCTGAAAGATATGGACGACTACACACAAGCACATTTTTGGGCTGCGAGTGGAATTTTCGTGGCGTTGATGATATTAATACTATATATGGTAGGTAAGAGCACGGATACCTTAGAGACTGGGGTTATATGGAAGAGCGTAAAGGAAATGTGGTTCCCATGTTTGGGAAGGAAGAAGAAGAAGAAGAAGGGAGGGAAGGGTGGAAGGCGGTCGTATTGAGGTGGCGGAGTTATAGCTGGAGTAAAGGATTCGTTTTGGGGATATATATGCTCCTGACGTACGTTGATTTTCTTTTTCTTTTTTAATTTAGGCCCCCTATTACTATATATATATCTAGTTAGCATATCACGCAGTATATTCGATACCGTTTGTTCTCTATACCAAGGTGCTCTAATGAAATTATGTATGTTCATGACAGTGTTCATGATCTTAAAGTACATACGGCATCGACCTTAAGGCTCGACAGACTAGTGTCAAAGTAAATATTTTAAATTATAAAGTTACATAGCTATGGTTTCAGGTCTAGAAAATAAAATGAACTATCAATCAATCAATGAAGTAAAGTTCGTTTCATTCACAGGCACTATTCCGAGTGATATGTTATGACCCAAATATTTCACGGTGGATGCGGATGTCCCGATACAATATATAAAGGAATATGTTAAGCCCCTCCATCGTATCTCATTAAAGAAAGAAACAAGTATGGTGCGCACACTCTTAAAGGTGACACGGCGGTATCTGGAAGTGGAACAATCGTGGCTGCTAGGTGAACTCCAAAGCCAATGAGAGGGTTTATTCCTAGCCACTTTGCTGCATTCCTGCCGCAATTCACTTTTGAGGGGGTACAAATGGGTATAATACTGTTCCACTTTGCTCAGTCTTGGCGCTTTTTACATACAAAAATACTAAATTTCGGGCTCTAATAACTTCATAACTAGAATAGATATCAAAAATCTGGAAAGACAAACTAAACTTTATTATTAGTACTTGACTTTGTCTTTCCCGATTTTCTTTAACCCTTCTCGTCGAAAAGTTATTAGCCATCAACTTTGCGCAACTTTCAGTTACCTTTAAGAGCGGGTGCACCATAGAACAATATCAAAACTGAGAGTCATACTCTTGATTTTTATCTTTCTAGAATGATACTTGTTCTAAGACTCACCTTTTTGGTGGGTACGTAATTATCAACATATATTATATGTGCATTATAACTTATAAAGCCAATACTACCACCTATCCCTTAAGCTGTCGATGCTGACCCCCCTATAACAGAAGAATTAGTTTTGTATGAGAGATCTATTATTTGATAAGAGGATAACGGGATCTGTTAGTAAAGCCACACCGAATTTACTTTTTTGGGGGGGTCAGCATTTTCGCGACAGCTTAAGGGATAGGCAACTTCCAGAATTCTGTCAAACCTTAGAAGTACTCAAAGTCTTTCCTTCACCGAAGATCTAGAGTATATTAACCAATTGGCCATTGTAAAAACCACGTACTCTATAGATTTATTTCAACATAAAACAATGATGTGATCCCAGGTGGGGGAAATCCTATGTACATGTATGTAGGTACGTATAGCTAATTACCATGTTAAGTCAATGGAGCTTGAAACATCGTGAGTCAACGGAGCTTGCCGGGACAATGTACAAATGAATAAATAATTTAAAGCTGCATGTATGTTACTATAGACTGCAACAGTCACGGAGCACGGTTTAAATATTATAGCATGCTGATTTGAAGATTGCCATTGATCATTTTGTCTCGGGAAGGCAATTTGAGTCTCGACCCTCTGATTGGTTTTCTTTGGATTTCAATCTCAACTAGGCGCCGATTTCAAGATAACCCATCGTGACTATTAATTTTGTGTCCTCACCAACACACATGCAATAGGCATCCCCGAACGAACAATGAATCTCATCTAGCCCCGTTCTTTGAACTTACATCGATTGACGTTTTAAGAGATTCTATTAGATGTAGAGATTTTTGAATTATGATAAATGCACATAGTTCAATCTTGGTGAAATTTCGAAAGTGTAACTACAGTCGTATGTCCCAGGATAAGTGGAGTGTACACTGGATCGATGCTGGATTTTTGCTGCAGGGACCTACATGGTCTATGATCAAGCAATGCATGGAGATCCTTCACTCCAGTTTTTGACACATTTACTCAAAAGATATGATTGGTTTTGAGAAAGACCTTGCTTTAGAGTGCACTCACTCACTAGCTTTATTACTCAGCAATGGCCCGAATCCGCCTGTGCTTTCAGAATTTCTGTAAGGAGACAGGCCGTTTCAGCTGCGACTAGCCGATAGGCAGAAAAGACAGAATTGGTGAAGAGTGATTGGAGAGTCAAAAGTTTTTTGTTTCTCGTTGTTGATAGAGATCTCGATTGTTTCGAGCGCACATTAATGCGGCCTCCCGATATTCCTTCCTTAGTTTCTAACTGCTCTGTCATAATGCATGCCTCAGTTGAGCTACGTATAGCTTCAACTTCAAAGGAAGTGTAGGTGTTACGTACTAACTTCGATATCTATCGGCGGTAGAGCACATGCAGCTAATATTCTGATACACACCAAGAGATCGACCTCAACTCCGCGTTCGACTCTCATGCCACTCTTGCAACATTGGCTCTTAGATTTCACTAGGCGCCAACAGCGGCGCCAGCGCCGGGAAAGAAAAATGAACGGACATATGTGGGGTAATCGGAGTGAGCCATTTCATGCCGCCGCGGAAGAGTGATACACCGTGATTCCTGTAGGCCAGTGCACCCTTATGGGAGGTTCTGCAAGATTCCAAGAGCAATTACATGGATTTTTTTCTATTCTAAATATAAGTAAGTCATACTCAAATATTCAAGTAAAAAAGGAACGTCAAAAACATAGACGAATAGAGATATTGATACTTCCTACGAGGTGGCAGAACGAGTACTTTGCTGCGTTGTACTATACTACCAGCTGTAGATTTTGCTACACGGACAGTGTGGACGGAAGTGGTTACCCGACCATATTACGGTGCACATACTGCATACATAAGTGTTGCATGTAAAAACAAGGCCAAGAAGCAATTTCTTCAGAGCTAGAGTGATATCTCATGAACCACCCCAACAAGGCGATTAGGTTTTAAAGAATATAATGGCCAAGACGTAAGTACGTGCAAGTGACTCCCGCCATGGCCTCTTCCCTTAGTGTCAGTGTGGGGTGCGTGTGTCATTGCCATAGGTTACCCAATTCTGAGCCCCATAGTAAGGCGCCTCGAATAAAAGCCTAGTTCACGTTGTGACACCCAACCAGAGATACCGGACATTTCTCTGAAGAATTCCGAAGAACTCAGAGCTCAGGAATACAATCGGTTTGGTTGACCGTTGAAGATAAAGGCGGTGGGCGTCAAAGCGTAAAAGGCGTATGTATGTTGCAACGGGGAGCTCTTATTCCACGGAGATTTGTTGTTTGTGCTCCTATGAAGATGGATGTTAGCCCTAACCCTCTCTTTAGTGGATTCTAGCCATTTCTGATTACCCGGAATGCAATGCAGCTGTTCAACGCCACTCAGGCTACTGGAGCACTTCGCCAGGCCTCTATCGGCTTTCAATATCCAGCGTTCTATTGAGCATTCCGTCAAAAACATTAGACTCTAGGCTGGTAGGTGCGTAGGCGATGGGCTTGAAAGACGGAGGACGAATGAACGGGTTGGCCAAAGGATGATTCCAAGAGAAGCGCTACTGCGGTATATATGTGGATATCTATGGTACGTGTCTTGATAACTGTGACATGTGTTATTTTGAGTACCGCAGAAACTCGCCAACTTGATTATCTCCGTGCAGGGATTTCTTCATTGATGATTGGCTGAAAGGCAGAGATCAGCTTCAGATATTTCCTCTACAAGTTAGTTTTTGGTCAGATCCGCTAGCAAAGTTCGTGAGTTTTTGCGGTACTACCACACATAGTAAATTTTAGCCACTAACCTTTGCCACAGCGATTCTATTCTTACGACTCCAAATATTTGGTACACTTATGTGTTTATTGATTATTCCCGACAAAGTCATAGTATTACTTAAACACTCAAAACCACCCTATATCAAGTTGGAAACATGCAGAGATGGTGTATTGACTACTACAATGGTATGTGGACCGGAAGGGGCGTTGCCCTATCGATCGGACAAATAATCATCCCTTACCTACTCGATAAGTGTATATAAAAAGCACTATTCGCTGGATAGTGGATACAATGATTCATATCTCAGACCAACTAGACATCAAGACCTTTGAAATGTTTTTTATACCTTGTGATCCACCTTTATTTCCAATGAGAAAAGAACAGCATACATACTGCATAAGTGTCTATTTTACTGGATGTTACATGTAGTATGTTATTGGGTTTTATCGAAAAATAACCTGGTTTATTCATTATCACGTAACTGACTGATTTTAATTAATAGCTCGATCTTCGCAGTAATGTTTTTTTATGAATAATACAAGGTGATCTTCTGTTTCTACAGGTACTTGGGGTTTTGGATTTGCCTATGGTCTAGTTTGAATGAAATTGCATGTACTTTGGGGGTAGTGGAATGGATGTGCAAACATGATGTAAGTAATACGAAGTGGTACTGCATTGTTTCAAAAGACATTTTTTTTTGCACTAACATATTGAAGACTACATGTACCCTAAGTACATGTAGGGAATTCTTGTTGTAGACTAGGGTGATAGGAAATTTCATTAAGAAAAAGATAAAGTGAACCCCCAACACAAAAGAATGTGTGGATAACGCCTAAAAAAACTTTACCTCCAGGTTCTCGCTACTAACCGATCGGTTTTACGCCCAAATCTTTGAAAGTTGCTACAAGAAAAATCCGAAATGAGAGGAATTAAGGGTTGCAGCAAATCAGGCAGTCTCCATGATCATATTTGCAACACCTGTAACAACCCCGGATTCATTTCTTGGGGATGTAGTTTCGGGGTGACAATCGCGGTTGGTACGGGCCGAGACACCAACCCTTTCCGAACAAAATTCAGTGTTGGAGTCACTCAGGGCTTCGCCGCTGATCCACCCATAACCTGCCAAGATGATATCCATAACGGTTTTAACTTCTTCTTCGGTGCGTGGGGCGTAAACCATGATAAAGTTGAGCGGAACAAAACGTGTGCACCATCCACCACGAGCAAGAGGGTGGCGTTCTATATTGGGCAACAATAATTGGTTAAAAGAGCTTTAAAGGTGTGAAGTAGCTGATTACATACCTCCCCATCCCGCTTCAATGACAGCCTTGGCGTCTTTAGGATGTAATGTTAAGTGTAAACTCCCATCAAACGGATGAGCGTGAGCTACCTCTCCATTACAAGTCTCATTAATCCCATTTATGGAGAATAGGCCGGAGCAGTGCTTCTCAAAACAGCTGGTAGCCATTTTCAACTTTTTTGGATGATCATTTGCTAGCTCCACGATCGATCGACAAAGAAGGTCGTATATTTCCTTTGAGGCCTTCTGGTTGGTTTGTCTATGCGGCGCAATACCAGCTACAATAGGGCGTTTTGAGTTCCGCTTTGGAACCCCAATCGGTGAAAGGTAGCCACCGTCTTGTAGTTCTTCGGGAACCGGTCCAGCAACTCGAGTATTACGGAGAGTTATAATACGGAGGGCTGTGATTTTCAAGTAGCCCAAAAAAGTAGATGGGGTTCCTCCAGGGCCAAGTGATAGAAAGGCATTATAGTCCTTATACGTTAAGTACGCAAGAGCAGGAAGAACCAAAAGCGCAAAAATAAGATAGCCATTGGGTTGAGATGTAAAGAGAGGGGGAAGACTTGGATTTGTGTGCACAGATGGGGATGAAGGGAGAGGAGGAGAAATGAATTTCGATATCAACTGGACGGTCTCCATTGTCTTATCAGGATATAGGAGATGGTGAGAAGTTGACACCAGAGGAGATTGAAGCGAATAGATGATCAACGGATGAGGTAGAAGAGCAGAGGAGAATAGTAGGAGAAAAAAAAGGGAAGAAGACAAAATCGATTTGGCGTGGATCGATGTAGACTATTGAATTTGAATAGAGTTTTGCAGGTTATTGGAGTTGGAACTAGCACTAGCACTAAGGTCTCATTTAGGATAACGAGCGGGACCGGAGAGAGATATCAGCGACTTTATATATTCGAGACTGATCTCCCTCAGTACTGCAGTCCGGAGCTCAAACATTCTCGAGCAGCTGCGGACACGTCAACATACCGCACCAATGCTTCGTCTCTCACGAGCGTTAATTTTTCAAATAAAAAATTGAATAAATACTTTTACTCAACACCTTACCCGCGGCTCCCTGCAGATCGAATGTATTTAAGGAAATATTAAATCGACCTATAGTATCTTCTGAGAGTGCACGAGCCTTCTTACCTCGTGGAGCAGCTTCTCGTTTTGTTTGTGGGTTGAGGTCATATACAAACAAGGGCAAGCAAAATGGAAGAGCAGAAGAATATCAAAAGGCAAATAGTTATCTGTAGGGAGGGAGCATGGTAGCTAGCGACTGAGTAGCGTGCAGGCACCGCCGTGGCCTACCACTACAACGCGTTGACAGCTAGAACGCGCGCCGCTGTTCAAAACTGCAGGAATGCTGTATTTTAGCTGCATAATTCCGAGGTTTAGAGCGGTATCAGAGTAATCTTCAGATCCCGCAGAGAAACCTGTACAATCACACAAGTGCAGGGTTGTTAGTCCGTATCCACCAAGGTCAAAGCAGGCAATCCCGAATGAAAAACGTGTGCGTCAAAATCCGAACCACATGAGCCTGATTCATGGATCAACGGACCTCTGCCACCAGCACTGGAAGATCGACTACCAACCAGAAGAATTTCCTTCTAGTTTGGCTACGAATATCTCTATCTCAAGAGCAGTATAGCCCTCTCTCGATACCTACTCCTCTCAAGAACCAAGCTCAACCAGGGTAATTTATCACTGCCATCATGTGCTAGCTACCTGTATGTCGATGTCATTTTCGATGGTGTTCCAGACCAAGTCCTAGCCGTAAATCCGTCGCTTCTCCTCAGCTACAATGCACCTATTTACTTTACCTCTTACAATCGATTTTAGACGCCAACATACTGGCAAGACGTACGGGGACGGACTTGTCTACTTAGGGCGGCAATGAAGGGTTAGAATTGCTGGTTCCAGTTTATGCTCGTGGTGATCCATTTTTGGACCCATAAGTAAACCCACTCACCTAGCCATCGAAACTATCATCGGTTGGCTCGATAATTACTAGAGGCATTTTTATACACACGCAACTAATATATCCTGAAAAACAAGGCCCAGTCCTGCATTCCTCAAGTGATATGATTCTAGGACTGTTAGAGGTTACACTGCTGGTGTACCCGGTTGCTCCAGATCAATGTAGGCATGTACTCTCCTCTCATATGCATACAGGTCCGCAACGACGCTTCAGGGTCCGTGGTTAGTACTTGAATTTCACATGCTCAGGTTACTTCTAGGGTGGTCTTTGGTGTATGATTGGTGGGAGATGCAGCTCCTCTCTAGTTCGTGCACTCGATTCTCTGACAAGAACTGTAAAAAGGGATTAATTAAGATGGTATCACGGTTGTGTGTACTTGACTCTGGAACTTAATGATTCGATTTGACACACAGCTGGATTTGGAGGTCTAAACTAGTCAAGTCCAAGTGAGACAGCCTTGAAAGCAGGGGCCGCATGGCGGACGAAGGACGTGCGTGGGATGGCGGGGCCGGCTGACATCTCCATCTTCGGGCCAAGCGGGACTACGAGCTCGAGAGAGAGAAATGTTCCAGCGAACAGCGCAACAGCTCTTCCCCTCATGCCGTTCTCCGACCAGTTACTACCAATATCATCCCACCTATTTTATGTAAAGAACATCTCTTTGAATCGGACAGCACATTCTTTGGGACTACATGTAGTTATGAACTTTAGATCACGATGACACAATTGCAAGGACAACTGAAACTAGGCATCATGTCATGGAATTGGTTAGATGCCTACTTTAGATAACAAGAATGCTGATTTTGTCCTAGATCTGCTGGCATACAACACCGCACGTCCTTTCGGTAAAAGGTCTTTATCGGTTGGCCATCCTCAAAATCTCAATGTACATGTATGTGGAGTAGTTGCTGTTTTCAGCAACATACATACATAGATAAAAGGGGAAAAGAAGCCGCTATGCTTTTTTCCATAAAGCTCTCTTATGATCTCTTCTCGGCGGCGGGAAGAAGGGAAGGGAAGTCACTTTGAGACCAGCTTCCGGGATATTTAACCCCACGAGGACTACAATTCGGTAAGCTTACTTCGTGGTGGGGGGATTCCCAGTACCACGGTTGAATGTTGTGGGACACCAATGTTCATGAGCAGCACTATCGATAAACTTGAGCCGCAACGGCGTCAAGATCAAAAGAGCTAGACTCTTTAATCTATAATCTTTATGAGTATTGAACAGGGTTAAGGTTTATCTACACAGGAAACTCTCGAGGCTCATTCCCAATCTTTTGATGACCAGTTTTTTAATTTGGGGTTGTAAGATTGTTCCATGGCCAGGGGCTGGACCTGGAAACATTCCCCGGTTTACCGATGTTTTACATTGAACAATCGATGGAAATACAATTGATAAACCTGGTTTTTCTTATATCTCGTACTGCACGGACCCTTGTTATGCGCGGGGCATGCTGGCTGTGAGTATATGGGGAAGTGAGCGGAGAGGTCATACATGTATCATTTATTTATACGCACAGCAGAGGCGGGAGTTCGGGTACAGACTCGCGGATCAAATTCTGCAACTAAAGTACTTCTGCCCCCTTCTGTACTCGCGCATGATAAAACGGTGTACTTCACCGGTTGAAAAGTTCAAATCACATCTGCTATGCCCAGATCGATAGAAAGTGGATGATTGTACCTTCTGGTTGGGAGCTATCACAGGACTACTAATATCAGTTTTGCTTTCACGGCACAATCGCCGGATACGCGCCCTGAATCCACCTAAATCTATTCCCCGGTATACATCTGCTTGGAATTTCTTCTCTGCGACTTCTCGATATTGAGGTACCTGCTAGGAACGATTTACGAACTATTTGATACATTCCCGTTTTGGAATAAGGAATCGGTCTATTATTTGGGGCTTTCATCGTACTTAATTGACTCAGATCGATATATAATATCAATGTTAATAAGAGAAAATCTTCAAAATGGCAAAGAAACAACACATACTCTAGGTACTGAAGACGGAGGAACGGCTCGGCCGGCGAACCGCGGAGTTTAAGGCCGGATCAACATACAGCCCCTTTCACGGGATTTCCCTTTTTCCGCCTTACATAGAGATAGAGATTTACACCTGAGAAGTTCCCCTCGGTGATTTTGAGACTTGGTCATCCGGTGCAAGGTACTATCTCAAAGTTGGGTTTATTTAATACACAGCGTGCAACTTAAAGAGTATAACATGTTTCAAGGGACCTGCAT